TCGCTCCATGAACCAAATCTCATAAAATTTCTCATTAAAAAATCACGCAACATTATTTCGGGTCGGGTCGGGTCATCATCCGAATCAACATACAAATTAGACTCCAAAAAAGGGCCGTACCACTTGCTCAAAGAATTAAACGGAGACTAGACTAATTTTCGAGATTTCATGGTTGTCAACTCCAGGATCAAAGCTCAAGTTGAGCAAACTGCTGAGATTCTGCAACATGACAGGCCGGTGGACACATTGGCTGATCCCAGTTCATCTGCTGCCACTGCTGATACTTCATGCAGTACTTCCATGGACCTATACGGCTATACTAGTCTAGTCTCTTTGTGTTGATGATGGTCAACTCCATCAAAACTCATTCAGCAGAAATGCTTTACACTTTTTTCGTTCTGTAATTTCCTTCTTAATTGAACTGGGATGATATCTTTTTCCACTATAAGGTGTGGGGTATATGTGTTTTTGAGAGAGGTGATAGAAACAGTCAAACCCTGTCAAAACTTATCTCTTTGTTTTGTTACCTCTTCTACGATGTTGCACTAGAGAGTACTCAATTAAGATTTGTCGCATGTTATGTAATTTTATATTATGCGACAGTTTTGTGAGTAGATTCTCCAACTGGCACCCACTGGTCAACTGGTTCCAGTCCTTCTGTTGAAGGGTGGATTGTATAACTTTGCCCCAAAATGTGTTAGACTACTTTGATGTATAAACGGCAACTGCCACCTTTGGCATCGAAGCAATGACGAATGAGAAAGTTATTATTCTCCTGCCATTATTCTCTACTATCGGGCTAAGAGACAACAAAGAAAGCCTTAAGAAATATGTCGAACGCATTGCTGCTAATGATAACCTCTCAAATCATATCAAAGGAGAGGTTATAGTCCTTGCTTGTCTATAGAGGTTATCTTTAGAGACATTAAAGAAATAAAGTTCAAGTGGATCTTGCAAACTTTGCTCTTCAAATATACAGATCGGTGATTTCAAGGCCGCTATTCAACAAGCCAAGGTATGTCACTATTCCTAAAACCTGGTAGGCCAATGCTCAATCACATGCTAATAACATACAAAAGATCAACAATCAGAATATTCAATATTACGTATCAAATATGGATATAGTGGTGTACATGTATCAAAGAATGATCGCATATATATCTTGAAAATATTGGATACTCGCACGTATGTATCAAAGAGTGATGATTTCATGATGGATGGCTTTACTGGCAATGTATAGAAACCTTGCATGATATTTTATATATGTCAAATGGCGCAAATTGTGGAGGTCGATGACGTGAAGGCAGTGGCATTGAGGGACGTTGAGCTGGAGAAGTAAAATTTTTTGAATCATACAGAGAAACTCGGGGCTGAATTTCTTAGTGAGGCCTATGTTGAGCACGATAATAAGGTTTGTATGCACTACTAACTGTTTTATCATCTTGGTTAGTTTAGTTCCATTTTACATATGTAGTTCATGTGTGGTTCTTCTAGGGAACTAGCTAGTCGTTCTCACTCATATCATCAACGCATGATTTCTAGTACTATATCATGTTGTGTGGGCCAAACCCAATTACCCAAAGCAGGAAACATTATACAATACCAGCGTGGGGTGCTACGATTGGTATGAAAACCATTGATCCCGTGGAGAGGTTGTATGTGCATCCCTTGGTGCAACTCGATCGATCCTGACTCCTACAAGGCTATGCGTAGCTATTGTGTGGGAGTGATCCCCACGTAATTTTAATCAAATACTCAATTCGACATTACTTGGTGAAGTTAGGGTGGGAGGGTGCATTGATACATATAAGTGTGAACTTTGATAATATCATTTTGTGTGTGTGTGTGTGTGTGATCTAAGCATATTCTTTCCAACTTTTTTTTCTTGATGAACTTGGAAGTTACATTTCATGACTTAAAAATTTATGCATCGTCATATAAGCCTATAGCTTTCTTATGAAGTTTAGTTCTCACAGTTGACAATTTTTTTCCTTTTTTGGTGTTGCAAGCTCAAGAGAAAAAGTTCGAGCTTTACAAACAAAAAACTAGTGCAGACTAGGGGCTTACTGGATGCAAAAAACTGCCCAAGCCCAAAGAGCTGTTGTAAATGCAACAGTGTACGCCCATAAACGTGGAGCAGAAGCTGAGCTATATGCTAAGGAGAAGGAAGTCCAATGACAAGACCGCAATTTGCACCAGTTGCTCAATGAATTAAACGGAGATTACAATAATCTTTGAGATTTCATTATTGTCAACTCTAACATCAAATCACATCCATCAAAACTCCTCAGTAGGACTTAAGTAGTGGTTCACAATTTTTTTTTCTTTCTGTAATTTCCTTTTTTAATGGAGCTGGAATTTGTCCTTGTTGGGACTGCTCAAGCCAATTTAAGGTCTAAAGTGAAAATATTAAATAGAAATTTTTTTATTTGTAGTATTATTTTTTTTTTAAATTAATTTTTTTTTAATTTTATATGTGAGAAGGAAACAAAAGAATGATGTGTTAATATTGTGGAAAAAGAGATTTCAATTTTTATTTTTATTTTTTACCACAGAGAGAGACAAAGTGTTTAATTTCAACTTTATTTTTGTTTTTTACGTATTTTTTTTGCCGGAGAGAGAGAGAGAGAGGGGAGAAATATGAGTTGACTTTTTTTAATTTTTTAATTTCTAAGTTTTTAATGTTATGAATTGAATTATAGGCCTAAATTATTCTAATAAAAATTTTGATTGAATTTAATTTTTTTGAGCTTGTTTGTAGGACTTAAAGTTTAATAGATTTAATTTTTTTTATGAGCTAATGTTGTACCTAAAATTATGGGATCTAAAGCTCGTACTTTTTTTTTTTTTTATACTGTTGGCCGGCCCTAAATAAAACAAGACAAAGAATAAGAATAAAATAAAAAGAGAGTGGGGTAGCTGGTCAAAGCATGTCAAAATTTATCTCTTTATTTTGTTAACTCTTCCTCGGTCAAGATTTCTCTTATCAACGTGTCTCGTTGTATTTGAGTGAACCAAATAAGGATCGTTCTCTCATAGAAGATGAATGAAGATAGACAAAAAATCAAAGAAAATAAAACACTTTTTCGAGATATGAATCGGTATCTAACGAATTCTCCGTGATTCCAATATAAATGAAAGAAAAATTTTAATCTTATGTGACAGTTTTGTACGTAGATTCTCCAACTGTCGTCCACTAGTCAAAATTAAATCAACTGGTTCTTGTCCTCAAATTCAAAGTTTGTAAATTGCTTTGAGATTGGATCGATTGTTTGAAAGTAAATCTTTTTTGCTTGCAAAATTTTTTTTATGCAAAACTATTGAGGTGTTGATTGAATAATTTTTCAAACTAAATCATCTAAGTTACGAGTGACTTGCTATAAAGTCACGTTTTATATTGTTTTGATATCAAGCTTTGAACTTAAATTGAATAGAGGCCTCCATAGGTCACATATTGGCGTTGCTCCATTCAAGTAGTTCGTTTCATCTACCAAACCAATTGAAATTTCCTCAATGGGGATTTCATATAGATCTGCAAGAGAAAAAATTGGTCATTAATCTTATTGTAAAATCAGAATAAAAGCCATAATAGGTATTTTGACACTTGACATACTTTATCGTATAATTTTTGATTAGTTTCATGCTTTATATATGTGGGGGAAGAGAGAGTTTTCTTAGAATTATGGCTCTATGTCTCTTACAATTCTCTAACTGATAATCTAGTGGGTATAATAAAAGGTGGCGTGTATGATATAAATGGTATTGATGGGGTCATTGAAAGGTGTGTTGTGTTGTCTTAGCCTATGGTTTCAAGGGAAACAAAAAAAATCAATAATTTTTCTTTTTTATTGACATTTATAAGTAGTATACATATGGATAATGATAATCCCACCTAACCTCCGAGAAAAAAAAAACCTAATTTTTAAACCTAGACCCCCACACACTCAACTATTCGTCTATCAATAATTTCCAACTTTGATTCCTACAACATGAAAATATCAGGCCCCACTTCAATTCTTTTATCACATTGTGATATTTTACATCGTTGAATGGGTTCATTCTAGAACAATTAGATGATGACAAAATTATCAAGGATTGACATTCCTTATTTTTATTCAAAAAGATCCCCCAATTCCAATTAGTTTCATTCAAGTAACGGATTCTAGCCAATGGATTGTGGATTTATCATGTGTGGGTTCAATTCTTGTCGTTCGCGAATAGTCTTCTATTTCTAATAGGCCTTGAACTAGATCAGAATCATTTTCAGCAAGTCTATAAGAAATGATCCCATTTTTTTATCGGTCCGAGTAGGGACCAAAGATCTAAAAGTGTTCAATTGGAACATAAAAACATGACTAAATTGGTTCTAGTTACTCTTCGGGACGGAATGGAAGAATGAAGGGGATTCTCAAACAAATTCCAAGGAATCAACAAAATTGAAAATTGGATCAATGTCCAACATATCACACCTATCAAGAAAAAATATTTTGTTTCGATTCGCCCTGTAGTCACATATGAAATAACGGATGGTATAAATTTAGAATCCTTTATAACAACCCTCTTACTCCAATTCCCTAACACTCTAACATTCCAACGAACAGTCTTCATCACAAACCAATACTCTCTTCTCCTACCCTTCTAATACTCCCTCCGTCATAATTTATCTCTGAAGGTAAATTCTTCAACTCTCAAACTCCACTCTTTCAATCAATCATGAATCAAAATATCCCCATGATACATTATTTTGGGCAAAAGCTTATCAAATCTCCTCTCCTTAGGAAAGAGATTCTCACATAAAGCAAGTATTTCAATCTCAAATTGTAATTCCACATTCATGCCAAATAACTTTAATAATAACTATTATTAATAATTCCTAACTAAAAGTACCATTAATTACTAACCAAAAGTACCATTAATAGCATTTCTTGAAAAAGAAAAATCAAACTATCACTAAACTCCCAAACCAAATAATCTAGAATTGTATCAGGGGAACTTCTTTCTTAGGCCTGTGATGAATTGGAATCAGGCAATGTGGCCAGCCAGGTCGGTGGCAGCATACCAGTCTGCTCTTGCACCGTCTTAAACAGCGGCGGCAACATGCCATACAACCCGGCAACATCCTTCATCGCGCCACCAGCACCATCATATTGGCTGCTGCCACTCGCACCCGACCAAACACTGATTTTGGGCTGCAATCCGTTCACAGCTTGAGCATTGATCTTGGCGATTTCTTGGAACATACCAGTGTTGATCATCATGTAATCCCGGGCAGCAGAGTAGTTTCCTTTCAATTCTTTGAGAAGGTGGTGCAAGTAGAGGCCTTGGGCTTCTGCTAGAGCAGCAATTCCTTCGGCTTCTTTCTGCTTTGCGTAGAGCTCACCGTCTGCTTCGCGTTGACGGGCATAGAATGCTGAGTCTGCGCTTGCTTTCTGGGCTTCAGCAAGCTTTTGTTGCTCATACAGAACTGCTTCAGCGGTTTGTTGCTTCTTATACAACTCCGAATTTGCTTCTTGCACCTGTTTTTTAAAACAATAAAAATAGATAAGAGGAAAAATATATAACAGATTAAGAAAGAGTAAAAACTAAGCAAAAGGTCGTGGAATCATTAAACACAACAATTATATTTCACAGTGCACAACTCTACTCCTATAATGGGTCTTCGATAGGTAACTCATAGTGAGTTTACTCCCATTTTTAAAAGGCTAGTTCTTGTATTTCAATTCAGAATGACTTACTCATATAGATGAACACTTTTCATCGCTCCAAATTCAATCTTTCTAAAAAACGGTATACCTCTATGAATAGATTATACGATGTATTTCTATTTTTAAAGTGCTACTAGTATACTCATTATTCTCATTTTGCACTTCTGAGATACCTAATTAGAGTGTGTGTAGCGGAGCAATTCTATAAAGACCTAATTTAACGATTTAATTCAATATAACTATTGGATTAGTAGTAAGTTACAATATTATATCTTTGAAAGGGTTGCGGGGCGGTTCTTCCACATTATCGACAAATCGGTCTTCCACCAGTGTGTAGTAGGTTGGGTTGTAGTGTTGAGGGAGGCAGAAAGAGGAGGATATTCACTATCCAAAACTATACTAATCATCGGCTTCTAAACCGGTCCATGACTGGTTGATGAATGTTCCTATACTAGGTTATCATATAATATATATAGACGTGTCAATGAATTGTATAGTGTGTTATTCAACTCATTTATTATTCGTTTTCATTAGTCATGTACTTTTAGGTCCATGTTGTGCTTATTGGGAATGTGTAAAATTGATCACACCCCTTAACTATGATTCTTATATTATATACATTTAGAGTGCTTTGGAATTTGAATGCATGTCATATCCCTTGCATACTGGGCTTCTGTACTATTTTCTTTGAACAATGGCTTCTCTAATATATATGTAGTGTCATGTCAAATTTACTCATTTACGAAATGGTTCGCTTCAAAAATATTCAAACCCGTGTCAAATACCCCTAGATACAAGGCTTGAAATGAATAACATGAGACTAAGCATATATAAAAGTAGTAGTGCATACCTTGACAGCATAGTCCACGTTAGCCTTACTCAGATACTCAGCCCTGAGTTTCTCAGTCTGAGTCAAAGCATTCTTCTTCTCCACCTCCATCTGCAACTCGGCCTCCCTCAACACCACGGCCTTGGAGGCCTCCACCTCCGCCATCTTTGCAGTTTGAGACCACCCAGCCTTCTTCTTGGCCACTTCAGCATTGGCTTCAGCCACCTCAGCATCCCTTTGGTTCTCAAAAATCTGAACGTCTGTCCTCACCCTGACCTCCTCCTTCTTTCCCTCTCCTTGCCTTTTTGTTGATATAACCTTCGTCTCCGCATCGATCTTCGCAGCATTCTGTGTCGTCAACCCTTCTCTTTCCTTTGCTCCTATCTCACCCTTCATCTTTGCCTCAGCAACATCAACCTATATATATATATATTGCACAGTTTAGAACAGTATCATCAAACTATCATAACCACAATCATAGTTAAGCCATGCATTAAACTGTTCATGTATTCTCAATTGTGATTAACTTGAAGCATGGATACACATACAAAATATGGGTATCACACGATGCGAATAAAATTTAATAACATAAAATCTGAATATGAACCTATCTTTTTGTTATATATTTATGCCATATTATATGACAAAGTTTAATGTTAGTTATTTACAATCATATATTATAGTTGACAACAATTGACCATCGTTAACAACAAAAATATTTTATATTGTAGTATATAAGTGTATCTTCAACCCTTACTCTTTTCTAAACACAAATTTAAATTTAAATTAAAAAAAACCCCTTAAAAATTCTCTCTAATGCTATATCCAAATTCATACTAAATCAAAGGTAACTCAAATTTTTAGACAAATCATAGAAGATCCAAACTTTCACTCAAATTATCAATAGTTAAATTTTATTCTTTTTTAAAAATTTAATAATCATGTTTTATCATCTTGGGTTTGTCCTTAAATTTGGGTTTGTCCTTAATTTTAGGTTTCCCCATTGGAGAAGTTTATACCCTCTCAAGTTTTTTACCCTTTTTTCCCTCAAATTTAGGTAAGAGTTTGGGTTTTGTACATTATACAAATCTATAAATCCTAATTTACCGAAATCAATATGAAATTTAATATTCAGTTATTTTAATAAATAACCCTTCTAATATAAACAAAAGTTTTGAAAGATATATGGATGAAACGTAATGACATGTTTAGAGTATTGTTCAAAAATTAATATATCGGATAGATGAGGACAAAATTATATTTTTTAATCATGAGAACTCCAATAATCTTGTTCTGTAACATACAAATTTATTTATTAATTTCGATTCTTTAAAAATAAAATAAAAAATCATATATTTGATTCAATAGTGGGATTTGGGATCGACTTACCTTGGCTTGATTGGCGGCTTCCATCTGTGTTTTCTGGCCAAGGTACGAGAAGTATTCATGGCCTCTCACATCAACAAGCTGTTTAACATTGGCATTATAGATGTGAAGCCCAAACTGGTTGAGTTCGAGTTGAACTTTATCGAAAACCTCTTGTTTGAAATCTTTGGTTCCCTTGAAGATCTCCTCCATGGTCATCGACGCAGCGAGAACCCTAGTCTCGCCTTCAATAACCCCTTGGACGAGTTCATTGACATGGTTGGAGCGCTTATCGTGTGAAGAGAGGAGTTTGGCGTATTTAAGAAGGCTTTCCTCGTCGTTGACTCGTGGGCCGATGGTGAAGACGGCCGGAAGGAGAAAAGGGAGTTTCTCGGCGCTCATGGCTTGGACTTCGAACGTGTAATTCACCGGCGATATGTCGACCCTGAGGCACTTTTGGCCCGGCCATAACCACTTTTTCTTCGCGAGCTTTACGTCCGGAATACCCCATCCGGTGATCGCGAGGATGTCCGAGGGACCAGCGACCTGGTACATGTTTGATCGATGGACTGACTGAAGGAAACCGAAAGAAACTCAAGGAATGTGTGACTGTGTGCGCTGTGTGTTTTACTCGGAGAGAGAGAGTAGTAGTTAATAGAATATCGCCGAATTTATATACTGTGGCGCGGTGATACGTATTTGTAAAGGATTTGAATACCTATTATAGCATTGATGTCTCAGTAAATTCTATACTTGTTCGTTGAACTCTAAAACTTAATACGTAAATTTAGTCGATTGATTGGATCATTACTCCTTCCTTATATAAGATGGTGGAGTCATTTCCAATACACTTTTCTCTCAATTTTCTCGTACTTTCTTTGAAATTTCCTTTATTTCTAATTTTTTTTTATATATTTATAGAGATTATTTCCATAATGTGAAACGTATGAGAGTAACGAGGAATCCGTTTCTTGCTACCAAAACCGGACGTTGGCATTGATTTAGGCAATAGAATGCTGCCTAAATAGAATAAGTGTTAATTGTATTTAAATTATTTAGTTTTATAAAAAAAAATTAGTCTGAACTATTCCTAATTTCAAAATAAATTCTGATTTTTTTTTTATTTTGCTATATTCCTATTTTCCATGTAGATTATTATAATAAACTGTAATTTATTTTGATTTTTGATGGTACAGAGGCAACAATTTGTATAATAATTGGAATTGTAATTTACTTTATTATTATGATATTTGCCAAAAAAAATTACAACCAACATTTTTCCAGAATTTATGAAGTTGATATGATTTGTCAATAATCAAAAAATATAATGTATTCCGTAACAAAATCAATTATTAAATTATGGTACCAAAGAAAAAAATTTGATATCTTATCTCTAAATTTTACTGCTTTACGAGTTTTTTACAATTTTTATTTACCACTTTTGTTGGTGATTTTGATGACTTAATATACTTTTGAATATTTTTATTACTATTGTAACTTACCATATTCGGAAAAATTGGGACTTTCGAAAACTTTTTCCTAATTGTCCTTTTGTTTAGTCAGAGAATAATAAAAAACTGTAAGAAAGATAATTTTTTTGAAATTTTTACACGTTTGGTTAGCATGAAATAAAAAATAATGAATTTTTTTTTTTCTTACTTGAATTTTCTCACAACTAACTAACTCTTTTTCTTAGGGTTCCGTTTGGTAAGGAAGAAAACAATAATGAAAAATAAAAATGATAAAAAATGAAGTGAAAGAAAAAAAAAATAAAAGAAAATATATTTTTATACATGTATTTGATTAGCTGAAAAACTTGCGAAATTTTTTTAAAAAAAATTTATTCTATTATTTGAAAGAAAAAAAAGTTACAAGAAAAATTTTTCAATTATCCAAATTACCCTTAATTATATTAAATCGGTCTAAAAAAATATATATGCATTATAATTAGAGTTTAATTTTTTTTAAAAAGTTACTCATAACCTAATTCGAACAACCATCAACACGAAAGTCATTGAGTCAAATTATATTGTTAACTAAATCCATACCAAGGTTTTTTAAAATTAACAACCAATAAATTTTTTTTAGAAAAATAAAAGTAAAATAAGAAGTTAGTTTACATCACAATTTTCTTGCATTTTCTTATGTTTTTTACAAGAAAAAAAAAGTTAGTTAGTTGGAAGAAAATCTAAGCATAGAAAAAAAAATTCCTATCATTTTCCATTTCATACCAACCAAACACATAAATTTTAAAAATTTTCTCTTGTATTTTCTACTATAATCCCACTTAACAAACGGACCCGTAAAAATGCAAAAAAATACAAGAAAATGTGATCTATAATTAATTTCTCATTTTACCCTTATTTTTCTTAAAATATTTTATTAATTATTAATTTTAAAAAATATTAATATGAATTTGATTAACCATATAATTTAATCAAAACACCTTCATCCTGGTAATTATCCTAAAATTAGATTACAAGCCATTTTTTTTTAAAAATTTAACTTTCAATTCTAATACATATTTTTTTCTACTTTAGACCGATTTAATATAATTAAAAATAATTTAGACAATTAAAAAAAAAATCTTGTAACTTAACTTTTTTTCAAACAATAGAATAAAAAATTTTAAAACTTTCTTGAAATTTATTCATCCTAACCAAATCCATGAATGAAAATATATTTTTTTATTATTTTCTTTTCTTTCACTTTACTTTCTATTATCCACCAAACAGACCTAAAAGTTCTATTCGCGTCTTGTCGTCCCATTAGTAGTGCTTCTAACGTAGTAACCATAAGTTCGGATAAGCACTCTTACCTCATTCTTAAAAGACCTATTCCTAGAGTCAGAATGATTTCTCTTCCAATATCAACCAAAATGGGCTCCTATACATTCCAAAAATGAAAATCATTTCACTTCAGGCTGCAGGAACGACGAGTCTTTAGCTTCAGCTCTCAAGCCATTGGTCCTCTCCTCATGCCCCCTCTCTCTATTGCTATTTATTTGAAGAGGAACGGTTCAATTAGGAGGGGGAAACGCGGCCATCCTCGATCCCATTTGTTGTTGGATTCCCCTCTTCAATGCAAAGCATCAAATCTCTAAGCTGCAAAATTCCAGAAAGTAGGCATGAAAGAATCATCAGTGGTCTAAAATTGTATGCTTGTATGCAAATAAACCATCAGAAAGTTTAAACCTCGTGTAATAGGTGAGATCAGAGATGCATATTACCTGTTCCTCCAATTCCCGAATCTTAGCATCTTTTTGCTTTACAGCCTTCTTCTCCCTGGAATAACAATAAAAATCCTTCAGAACACCAAATGCAGAGTAGAATGGTATTTGAAGCAGCTAGCAAGTTAGATGAAATAGTGGGTCAAGCCTCAAAGAAAGATCTTATAAGGTACTTGCTGCATGTTCCACTCGATGGAGATTATTTTTCAATCAGGCCTCAAAGAAAGATGAAGTGATAGGTTTTGGTTTCAAGTTGGTGACAGTTCAAAAGCAACGGTCTACAGGAAATAATCAACCAGGAAAACTGAAATTGTTTTGTAACAACACAAGGAGGAAAATTAACCATGGGTCAATTAAACTGAAATTGTTTACTGCAAAAGAAGAAAATCTATCATTTTGCAGTAACTATAAAGCAAACCTGTAGGTGCATAAATAAACCGCTAAACTTCCTATGTATTACAAATTTGATAGATCTTATAAGGTTTGCATAGTTATATCAGTGATGTCTCCTACTTAAAAGCAGACATTTGCAACAGTTTAAGAGACTTTTTGTCTTTCTTAAATCTCTCGATAATTGTTATTAAAGCCAAAAAGATTCAATTGAATCTGTTTGAAATGATGAATCCATATAAATAAAAAACTAAATTGTAGAGACTTAGAAATCAAAGACCATACATTAAACGAAGAAACAAGACGTGATGTATCCATTTACTTCAGATGATTCATCAAGTTTACCCATCTGAAAATCTATTATGTAAAGAACGGAAATGATTACTCTTTCACCTGAACTTGAGAAGGATCAAGAATAATTGAAGAAGATAGTCATACCTTTCTTGAATTTCTACTATTTTGGCTTCCCAGATTTCCTTGTTTCTCAAAAGATTATCATTGATCTACAAGTAAAACAAAGAATTATATTAACAATGCTGTACAACTAAAAAGTTTTACCAATCCCTAGTTGCCAAATTATCTACTGACAATCCACAAAAGATCATCAAGAACTACACGAGTGACAAAGGTAAATACTTACATCATCAAGAAATTTCAACTCTTCAAGACATTTATCCAACTTAGCTTGCATCTTCTGTAATTTTGGATTGTGAGCCAAAGCTTTCTCAACAGCTTCAGAAGTATCCCTTTTGGTTTCTTCTTCAACTTCTCGCAATAAAGACTCAAAATACTACCATCATTGAGAGACTGTTAACATGATATGACGAGAAAAGTAATTTTCCTAAATATCTAGCACTATCTTAAAAAACCATAAAGGACTAGCAAAAGAAATTCTCAATGTATCTAATTCCTGGAACAACTTATGAATTCAAGGCTGTTGTTCCAAATTCACTGTCAATCTCAATCATTGAATTAGAGACCAATTAATTTGATTACAAAAACAAGGGCACGAGCTTACGTTTTTTTGGTTCTCAAGTTGCGTAGTCAGAAGTTCGTTGTACTCATTCACAATCTGCGCTTAAATATGTTGCAGGTTAGAAGGAAGTAAATGGCACCACAAAATGCAGAATCAAATAAACATCTAGAGAAAGAGTCAATCAAAGATAAAAGGGAAGAAGAGACAGCACAGCTTCAACTTTGCTATTCATGAGAGCCTCACTAAATCCAGGATCCATTCCACAGTCGCAACTACCACAACCAACATCAGCATGGGAGCAGTGCTGATTTAACTCGACCAACTTCCCATCAGTTTTAGATTGGATCAAACGGTGAACATAGTTGTCTCCAGCATAGTCCCACACACGCTGCGTTTCCAATTCAAGGGAGTAGCAGTGTTCTGTTTCATTCCAATGTCTTATAGCATGTCCTTCTTTGTACCTACACCATAATTGCATAAATGAAAAACTTAGTGCTTAATTTTCCTTTGTACATAAGTTTAATCACACCCTTTTACTTGTTAAAACATAAAAAAGAGTTCTCAAAATATTATTATTCAAGAAGAGGGAATCTCATAACCTCCCGCATCCAACAAAGCCACAAAGAACACACATCCACAGATTCTCTGAAGTTTGACAAACAAAACAGATCGACTTCTCAGGCTGCTGCTGGCAATATCGGCATACCTGCAATAACACGTTGAAACCAAGTCAACTGCCTGCTACCTTTCTGCATATGTTCCATTTGGAAGTAGCCTTTTACAACTGATGACACCATGAACACAGCCTAGATGGAAGCCTAAAACAAGCTGCTAGATAGAATGAATCGGCAACTCCCATGTACAGGACACAAGGACAAAGCATCAAATTGCAATTGCAGAATATAAATGTTGTCAATCATCCTTTCTTTTCTTTTCAATGGTCGGGGAGTTGCTAACACTGAACTATCCATAAAACAAAAAAACTCACTACACTCCACAAGTCAATTCACACTCAAGGAGGGTTAACCTAAAAAAGAGGCCACCTTTGACTAGTGGCCAGAATCTTGGATGACACACACTGGACGAATTAAAGCTACCGCTTGGTTCAACTTTAAATTAATGAAGCAACATTAACAAAACCTCAAAAATAAAAATGGAAAACCAAAACATCTTTTTTATGAATTCAGATATCTTCCTTTTGCTACATAGTGGCTTCAAAATTTGCGGAGGGCCCATGATTTAGTCTGTATGTGACATGAAACAACCATTATACCACAAGAAAAGGGAGAATTTTGAAATTTATGCATAGGGTTATTCGTGTTTCCACATACTTGTGATTATGGGATTAGATAAACCAAACATTTGGAAACAAACATACTACCATTTGTTTGGATGGTTCAAAGTTCAAACCAATTTGATGACAGGATGACGCCACGATAGACACACTCGTAGGAAACAGCAACAACTATCAAATTCAATTACCGGGCAAGAAGAGTCTGTCCAGTTAGAAATACAAGAGCAATGGAAAGAATGATTGCATATAGTTGTGAGAATTCCACTTGTATCTTGGTCCAATCTTTCTGCGACATGGAGAAAATTAAGAGAAAACCCAAACAAACATTTTATGTTAACTATCTCAAAATCTCAAAGTTCTTGATAAAACAATAGAAATTCCACTTCAATTTATAAGGGAAGGGAAACTAAACAAACAAGATTACAAGTAGTACCAGATAACCTTTTCAAAAGTTTGGGATCAAGCAAAAAAAATTGAATCAAAGTTTACTAACTTTACTTCCCTGGGCTTTGAACCAATGACACTTTACCTCCGAATATTTTAGAAAGCAACCCAAACCCCCTATGGTTTTGAACTAAAGTGCAACAGCTAACGAAGTTAACAAATTGATTTAGAAATCAATAACACCCTTCTTTTTTCTGAATTTTTTATGCTTTTCTTCCTAAAAATTTTATACTAATTTAAAAATCAACTTAAAAGGGACGAGAGAGAAAGAATCAATTTACTTTGGAGAGAGAAAATAAAAATAAATGTGTATAAGGGTCTAAAGGTCATTTCAACACGTTCTTCTATCAAAAGTATTGTCTGTGACCTGTGACCATTAATTCCAACTAAATGCCAAATAATTCCAGTTTAGTCCAACAATATAAGAGCTCATGAGTAGGTTTCTAAAGTGTAGGGAGGCCAAGTGTCGTTGAGTAAAACCACATGGAGTTTATCTACAATTTACACCAAAAAAATCTATGGAATTCCTATAATGTAATTTCTTCACCCACATGAGCTCCAGGTGTCTATAAAAATGATCCTATTTACCAATGTTGTGAAAAGCGAGCCTAGCCGAGAGGTGAGGCAAGGTGACCTCTGGTTGCCTGGAACAGTCCAAGCAAAGCAACCTTCAGAGAAACGAGAAAAAAGCAAGCCTAGGCGAAAACACAAAAAAGCGTGCACCTGACTGAAAATTTTAATTTTCTGTCCTCTACTTCTTCTTCTAACCTTCTGATTCTTCCCCTTCTTGCAATACTCACCAGGTGACGGGGAAACTCACAACATCAGATTGCTGATGCTGGGAAGCTCACAGTGATGGTATGTTCCCTCCTCCTCCTCCTCCTCCTCCTCCTCCTCCTCCTTCTGATTCTCCTCCTTCTGATTTTCTGAAACTCTGTTTCTGCATTTTTTATTTTTTTTTGTGATGCTGCTTCTGCTGAAACCCTTGGAATCCTGTTTCTACCCTATTTTTTTTTTTTTTTTTGTTTCTGTAATGGTTTTTTGGTTCAGTTGAAATACTATTTCAAATTTTTTTTTTTTTGCTTTGATGGTTTTGCTGCTGCTTCTCATCTGCTAGAACTATCTTTCTATGTTTCTGTCATTTCTTCTACTGTGTTCATTTGTTCTGCTATGTTATGCTCATTTGCTGCCTATTGGTTTATTATTTTGTTTGATTATATTCTGAAATTTTGTCATTAAGGTTCAAACTGTTTTTTGGACTGATGTGTTACATTTTTCTATCATTTGTTCTATAATTAAACTAAAATATTAGCTTATAAGCTGTCCACTTCCACTTCACTTCGATGAAGCGCTCGCTTCGCCTCTTGCTTCTCGCCTAGGCCTCAAGTGATTGGTTTGCTTTAGGCCTTAAATAACACTGTTATTTAAGGATAATATGCATTGGTCATAGTATCCGGTACAGACATCTAAGACACATCAAACCCTGATGGAAAGCAAATTCTAAAGTGAAAAGGGCAGGCAGTTAGAAATTTTTATGGTAAATTTTCCTCCCTACATAAACTAGACTTATTTTGTTAGGGCACTTGGGGTTTTTTAGTATAACATCTTGGAAAAAGCTCAACAGCTTTATTGTCTTTTTTATTTAAATCACTAGAAGTGATCTTACACAATTTAGCACTTATTCCTTACAATTAAGTTTGTGTTTGGCGTAACTTCTCAAAATAAAAGTCCATTTCAAGAATGGACTTTACAATATGGACTTTGTAGGATGGACTTCTCAAAAATTTTAAATGTTTGGTGGAAGTATGTCTCAAAAGTGTTTTTGAATGAAAAAGTACATCCATATATATAAGTTTTTTTAGAGATAACATAAAAAAGTGCAAAATAACTCGAAATTATTAATATTGCCCTCAATGTTGTTATATGCTTATTATGATTTAAAATTAACTACACTAATTAAAACTGTGAGAATTTATTAAATGATGTCATACTAATACTAAAAATAAATCAACGATAGCATATCACAAGTTAACAACTACATGATGCCTAGAAACTCTGCAGACTGTGCATGGGCTCCTGACCACTGTCAATAGAAGTTCTCATTTCTTTTTCATTTTCTTTGTCAACACAAAATGCAATAAGTGGGTTCCAAGTAGCTATTTGGACCACTTTTTCTGTGGACACCCACTCTCCTCTCTCATGATTTCACCATGTCTTTGAATATACCTCTCTCTCTCTCTCTCTCTCTCTCTAATGAATTGTAGTTCTCCAATTCATTTCTAAACCATTAAGTGAATTAACTCCTTGAATCTACAGAAGCTGTTATAGTATGGTTTTGTTGGTGCAATGGCTATAACCATCAAATTAGGCCTTCTCGGTGAGCTTTTGAGGTTTGGTGAAGGAGATCTGTTGGTCTTACAACTCTTGTCATTACTCAATTTAAATAGTTGCTGAAATATCTTAGGTTCAAAGGTTATAGAAAGGATAGAGAACTCGGAGAGGAAGGAAAACAAGAAGTTGGGGATCTCCTCGTTGGGGTGGCGATTGAAGAGACGGGTATAGATTGCTCATTAGAAATGTTGTAAGGTCAAAACAGATATTGTAATAGAAGAACAAAGGATAATATCAGAAATGACTTTAATTGCTTAAATGAACTCAGTTGAATTCGCGAGAAGTCGAAAAGCTCAGTTTTGAAAAGCCAGCTCCGCTAGCTTCTCTGGATGCGCATTTCGGAGGTGGACTTCTTGCCCAAAGGAAGAACTCATGATTTTAATGGACTTTTTGGTCTCCAAAGTCCATTTGCAAGGTGTGCCAAATGCCTTCTAAAGTAGTCAAAATAAGCATACAATTATGTTAGAAGTTAGAACTACCATCCATGAGAAATGTGTATTACTGTTCTTAACTCTGTTTCCAAAACTTTGTAATCGCCATTGTGGCACTAAATGAAAGAAACCAATTTCCCTAATCATAGGTTTAGGAAAATACCAAGACAGACTGGACATGAAGGCTGCTCCATAGAGCTAGCAGGGGAGGAATGTGCATGTTCAATTGAACCTGTATATTGTACATCGACCGTGAAAAGCACACGGCAAGTCTCCACCTGTAAACAAAAGACAAAAATTGCATGAGGATGCCTAAATGAAGATGCACATCTGAGATGAAATTTTGAATTAGTTGTCGAACAAAGAAGACAAGTGAAAGCAAATCAAACCTCAAGTGATGAAAATCGTCTCCCTTTGAAATGCCTGTAAAAAGCATCTGCTGAGCCCTGATCATCAAACCTAATCAAAATACTATACAGGTCCTCCATTCCTTCAGTCCTGAATCCTCATGCAAGACAACAATATATCACCACTGAATTAGCAAGATTGCCAACTAGAAACCCGTCACACAATAAAGAGATCATGTTATCATAACTAAACCTGACAATTCGCATTTCCAAAATGTGCTGAATGAACGAGCCACAAAACTGACAAAAATCTGAATATGTCATGTGATTTGGCACAGCAAGCACACAAAGAAGGGGCTTTCTCTCAACCTAAACATCATTAGGAAAAATGAACTGATAATTAGTCAACTATTTCAACCTTGTGATCATATCTGACATTAAAATCCTACACATAGAGGATCTAATTTCCACCAGAATACTCACTATTCTACTAAAACAATAAATCTAAAAAAAATACAGAATTAAAAGGCACTAAATCATAGACAACAGAACAAAGGAGAATAGTTCTCAAACCCAGAAAATCTTAGTTAGGCATCTGACTGAATGTTCTTTTATATTTCATATCAAAAACATAAAGCTTTTGAGTTATCAAAGCATAACAATGGTCCAGATAGTTTAGGTCTGATGGTTTGACTTACAGTTTAACCTTTTAATCACAATAATTCTTTTAAGCATAGTTACCTTTAAACCACGATAAATATTTTGATCAACGATCACCCACTTATATTTTAACCACAACAAATATTTTAATCACCCCTTTACATTTTAATTACAGTAAAAGGGAAGCATGCTTGCTCAAGGTACCCTTGCTCTTTTAATATTTCAGTATCAAAAAATTCTACTGAAATCATATCAAATTAGCAGCTATTAATTTGTATCATTCGCTAAAAACATTTTCGTAAAACAACTTAATTCACTATTATATTTTTAGAGATTTCCATTCAATATCCAGGGGAAAAACGCAAAATCTCAAATCAAATGTGCCTAACCCGAATTTTACTTTGTTTTCTTTCCTTTAGTTGTAAACGTAAATCATACACAAAATTAAGATTCTCAAAAAATTTATAATCAAGACCACAAAAAAAAAAGTAATTACCCAATTCCCTTTCATACAAACTCAAATTTTTAAGTTTTTCGAGTTTCATCAGGAATATAATATTCCTTTGGAGCCTCCATTTGCTTGGAAAGAAAAGAGGAGACTGAAACTATTCGACTCTTGCATAAAGCAGTTGATTTAGCCTTCAATGAGTGGCAATTAGTCCCGTATCTTCACGATTCCCAGGTAATAGAACTCAAAGGATGAAATTTGATCTCCTCAGCAAGCGAATATATCCTAAGCTTCCACAGTTCTACGCATGTCATCTATGGAATTAAAACAAAAACAGAAGAGACAGGAACACACCAAAACAATTTTCAAGGCACTGGAATTTTATTTTGCCCTCTTCCGTCACGATTTATCCGCATAGAAGCAACAATCAAGAGTCCGTAATTCTAAACATACCAAATACATATACCTGTGTGTATTTAAAACCAATAACAATCGAGTAGTGAAACAAAACCCCTAAGCTTACAGGTAGTTCGGAAGACGATGAAGCGACGTCGTCGCGGTATAGATGCATGATGCCTCTGGTCTCTTCGATCCTAGGGTTTCCAGAAGAGAAAGGAAAGGCCTGGGTGATGTTGGACGAGGAAGAGGATAACTCTTCTTCGAGGTCTCCGGAAGCCATGGCAGTCGACGGATGGAATAAATCTTCTGGCGACGCTCCGGCGACTGTGCTAGCGCTGGCTTCTGACATGGCAGGAAGTGAGTGAGACCGTCAGACAGAGAAAACCGAATAACTTCGCGCGAGAGAAGACTACTGTTGAGTTGAGGAAGGGGCACCGATCGTCTACCGTCGAAATGCAATGAAATCGCCACGTCTTAAATGACCTCTTCGCGAATTTGAGGAAATTCGTTTTTACCCCGGAGAATATGTCAACTTTCAATTTGGTCCCTCAAATTAATAATTAGTACAATTAAACATTTAAAGTTCTAATTTTAAGTCTATAGGTTCAATAGTTGAGTCTGACCTTTGATAACCTACAAATCTCAGGTTCAACCCATTTCAACATCTTTAAGGATTAGTCATTTTTATTCATTTAAGGACATGTTTTAAACAAACTTAAGTCATGATAACCAATTACTGAGTTCAATAAAGTAATCGGCACAAATTTAGATACCCTATAACAAAAAAAAAAAAAAAAAAAGGAGGGCGATTATCTCACCAGACTGATCAAAAAAAAAAGATTACAAATAAGAACAAAATGATGTAACAAGAGCAAAATATACTTATAGTGCTTAAAGTATGCATTTAGTGTCTATTTAATCCTCTAATTGTATCTATTTGGTCTTTAATCTTCTAATTGTGTTTATTTAGTTCCTAAGTTTCCTAAATTGTATCTATGTGATTCAATTTCAAACGTCTATCAAAAAAATGTGATAGTTCTAGTCACATATCAATCGTGTGGGTTCCTAATTTTAAGTATATTTGGTCTCTAAAATTTATGACTTTATATTTATTTGATCCCTAAAATTTTTAATTTGTATCTATTTGATCTCGTATGATTGGCGCGTGACCAAAAGTATTAACGATTTATTGACAAATGTTTGGAATTAGATCACATAGATACAAATTAAGAGTCTTAAAGACCAAATAAACACAATTGAAAGATTGAAAACTAAATAGATATTTTGAGAATTAAAAGTATGTTATACCCTGGAAAAAAAATTAACTCTCAAATGTGTTAAAAGCTGGATTAACATCATTGCAATAATATCACATCATTTTTAATTTATTTTTTTGATCAGTATCCCATTACTCCATTCTTGAAAGTTGAGTTGCATCATAATTCAGAAGGGTTAAGGAAAATTCTGGGGCACCTTCATTCCAAAGAGATTTATATTGAGCAACAACTTTCGACTTCATATATTTATATAATAAAATAACTTATAATTCAAATTTTAAAAATAAATAAAATAATTTTTATTTTTCCTGTTTAAAATCCCTTTAAATTTTATTTTAAAGTTAATCTAAATGCTAATATTAACACCTTAAATTTAATAGGAAAAATAAAATTTTTAAAGTGAAGTTTTTTTTTTGCTTTTTGGGGGTGGGGGAAGGATAGGGGGAGGGGGAAGAAAAAGGGGAAGAGAGATTTGAACTCTTGACCTCAACAAGGTAAAACCTTTACAAGACAAAAAGTACCATTGAACCAAATGTCCATTCATAAGTGACTTTTTAAAAGTACTTCTATATGATAAAATAACTTATAATTCAAATTTCAAAAGATAAACAAAATGATTTTTACTTTTCGCGTTTCAGATCATTTTAAATTTTACTTTAAAGTTAATCTAACGATTTATATTAACACCCTAAATTTAATAAAAAAATAAACTCTTAAAAGTATTTTCTGAGTGACTTTTTAAAAGTACTTTTACAAATTATTTTTCATAAGTACTTTAAAAAAAAATAGTATTTAAAACCGCTCTATCATTACCTCTACCACCACCACCACCACTACTGCCACCACCCACCGTTGCCACCACCACCGTCGTCGCCGCCACCCCCACCACCACTGTCGTCGCCACCGCCGTCACCACAACCACCACCACCCCAACCACCGCCACCACGGTCATTGTCACTCACCACAACCATCGCTTTCTCCTACACCCACCACTACCGCTCACCACCTCTTACCCCCACTACAACCGATGTTTAAATTCATTTATCTCTCCTCTATGTTTGTGATTTTATTTTGGATATAAATATAAATATATTTATTATTTATCATTTTTTATTACTCTGTACCTTCAGGCACAGACAATAACTAATAATCATACAAAGTTTCAGATAAAATACAACAATCTAAAATGCTGGCCAAGAAATCAATTCCTAAGCAAATTAATAAGGTAAATTAAAATGTAAAGGGGCCTAAAAAAACAACATGGAAGTCGAAAACTGGGTAATAGTGCACAAGGTCCGAATCAAATCGACCCGAATTCATTGTGAAACTGAGACCCAAGAAAATTGTCTTCCTGTTGAGCTCCATGAATATCTATCCCTCTCTGGAGATCCACTTGGATAACACAAATACTGAAGGGACCGTGCCTCTTATTTCTCTGAACTCAACTGGCAGCAAAAATTTTAGGATCTATGGACTTCAATACTTCTTCGCCCATCTCCTTGCATCCTACTAATTTCTGAAGAAGAAAGCATAGTCATCCAGAGTCACTCGAAGAATTAGTTACGCAGTTAAAAATATAAAGAAAGCATAATTAGTTATGCTTATTATGAAGATCTGACTGCCATTTTAAGAACCTATAAGTAAGTATCTGTAAAGAGAAACGGAAACGGACTATACTAGAGGAGCATAGAATATAAAGAAAAAATATTTCATCCTCGAGCATACGTACATTTCCTGCCGAGTGTATGTCACCCGTACGAAACCCTCTATTTAAAGTATACAGCACTGCAGTCTCAATTCTTTGGGCAGCCTTCTCTTCTCCTAGGCCATACTTTAAAAGCATTGCGGCACTTAGCACTGTTGCCAGGGGATTTGCTTTATCCTGTGTATTCAACCAAGATATCCCATGACTAAACAAAAATGTTTGGAAATTTTAAAAATTACTCTTCTTTCCAAAATATTGAAAGAGTTTAGTTTAAGGGGAAAGGAATATGAACTGTTGTAAACCCCACCTGTCCAGCAATATCAGGAGCAGAACCATGTATGGGTTCAAAGAGTCCAGGTCCCTGCAGATTAAAGTTTCCATTATATTCAAGTCGATAACTTTCCTCCTAAACAAAAATCTAAAAGTGTACAAACATCAAGAGAAAACAAATGATTTGCCAATACCAATTCTCCAAGACTAGCAGATGGAAGCATCCCAATGCTTCCAGTAATCATTGAAGCCTCATCCGATAAGATATCACCAAAAATGTTGTTCGTTACAATCGTATCAAACTGCAAAATGGGTAGTTAGAGATTATAACACTTCCCTAACCTAGAATCATGCTTTGGAGAAGCCTGAAAAAACAACAACACTGTTCTGATGATGAGGCAAACCTGCTTTGGATTACGAACAAGCTGCATTGCAGCATTATCGACATACATGTGTGAAAGTTCAACATCAGGGTACTCTGAGGCTATTGCAATAATTCTTTTCCTCCAAAGCATTGATGCCTAGCCAATATCTCAAAATGATGAAACATTCAACAAAATGGTACGTTCATTACATAATCCTGTTCTGCTGGAGAATTTTACTATTTCCAGGTACCTCCAAAACATTTGCTTTATCCACAGAACACAGTTTCTGTCGGCGCTTCCGTGCACTCTCAAATGCTATGCGAGCAATGCGATCAATCTGGCAAGGAATATTCCACATCAAACAAAAGAGATTCAGTGTACAAACTGTAGAATGACAATAGGAAATAGGCATCTCAGAAACCAAGGGACAGTGAAAACAAAAAATCACAGTCAGCTGAGGGCACATAATAAGATATTTCTTGAACAATTGTGAGGACCAACTGAAAAAAAAAAAGCACTCAATTTAAGACTTGTCAAAACACGGAAATCTAATAAATACTTTTCCTATTTTTCCCATAAAGCTTCCTTTCCTGAATCTTAGCTCTTCTCTTTCTTCCTTTTCTGGGTGGGCAGTAGGCTGTATCTCTCACCAGTCTTCTGTCTATACAGGTATACACCACTGAACACAAAATGGTTCAAATAGTAGTGCACCCCCTCATGAAAGGAAGCAATAAATGGTCATTTATCAACACCATCGATTATGTATTCACACTTTCAAGGTAATGCATATAGACTTTTTCCTTTTCTTGGTGGGCAATGATTATGATCTTTCACCAACCTTTTGTCTCACCTTCGTTGTTGTCACGGGGTTAAATTTCTCACCAAATTTCTACCTCGTGATAGCACTAAGATCCTACATTTAGTCTCAGCCAAACATTTACAATGTACACAGAATGCACATAAGAATGGAGAAGGGACAATAAGCAAACACACAGACAGAGGACACAGAATTTACAAGCCAACAGGCTAAACCTTTCTTTCTCAATAAAGTATAAGGAACTCAGCCTTGGGTCTGTTTAAAAAAACGTATCCAACTCTATTGGTGCACTACAGACCCAGGCACCCTATTTATAATGTTCCGGGTGGCGGTAACAAGCCCAACCACCTAGGCAAACTGCCTACAATCCAAATGTTCCAAGAAGTTTGCTGTGATTGGATGGCAGAGGAAATTGTAACCGGTGTCTGCAACTTCCCCGCATACTGTCTGAATCTGACAGAGATCCCACATGCTTTACGCACTTGCCAGAAAACTGTACAGGACTGCCGGGCACATACCTAACTTCCTCACATGTTGTGCATGTGCCAGGAGCCCTCAGCATCCGAATTGAATTGCATTCGTGCCTAACCATGGCCCAGCCTATGACTCAATCCTTCAAGCAACATTGCCCTATAATTCAAGTCACCCGACTTCTCTGCTTGCATGCTGACTTATGCCCACGTGCCCATGTGCATAGACTGCCTCCCTCAGTCATGCATGGGACTTCTGCCACTTTGGCTAAGGCATGAGTGCCTTTGGGCGAGCCTGCCCTATGCCAATGCCGCCAACGAGCTAAGGGGATAACAAACCACCCCCACTAGAAGAGCTCGACGTCCTCGTCGAGAGGTTGTCCCAATACTCTTTGATCTGTTTCTCGAACTGTCAAAGAGTCGCATCTTTTTCCCAACTTGCGTCTGCCTCGAAACCCTTTCCAATGCACAAAAAAATCAGTCATGCGATTCTTCTTACTCTGACCCATGGTCCGGTGAGACAGAATCTTGTCAACCTCTCTGTCAAACTATTTCCTAATGATAAGCGAAGCTCTCTTGGCTTGTTTCCTTCCAGCATTCCATAAGTCTTCCTAAAAAGGCTTTAGAAAACTCACATGAAACGTTGGGTGAATTTTCAATCGATCAGGCAGCTTCAAGCGATAGGCAACATTCCCGACCTTCTTCATCACCTTGAAGGGGCCATCGTGTTTGGGAACAAGCCCACGGTGTACTACCTTGTTGTTGATCCTTTTCCACAACACAGGAGTCAATTTCAGCAAAACTAGATCACCAACTTGAAATTCTAGTGGTCTGCAGCCTTGATCAACATACTTCTTCATTCGTCGGGCACCTTTGGCCAAGTTGTCCTTTGCCTCGTCAAACAGCTCCTGCTTGGAACGGGCAAACCGATATGTAGCAGGACATTTTCCTCCGGTTCTCTGTTTTACCACTTCATGGGGATTAAGTGGCTGTTGTCCCATAGCCAACTCACTGGGACTCATTCCTGTTGCTAAAGACCTGTGTAAGTTATAGCAGAACTGGGCAGTGTCCATAAGCGCTACCCAATTTTTCTGACTTGCAGTGATATAGTGCTGCAGGTAGTCCTCCAGCAAGGCATTAATCCGCTCAGTCTGTCTGTCAGTCTGGGGATGACTTATTGTAGAGAACTTCAACTCAGACCCCATGAGATTGAACAACACAGTCCAGAATCTACCAGTGAACCTGGTATCACGATCACTGACTATATCTTCTGACAATCCAAAGTACTTTACCACGTACTTGTAGAACAGTTCTACAGCAACATCCGCAGGACAAGCATGAGGTGCAAGAATGAACATCGCATACTTGGAAAAACGATCGACCACCACCATGATTGAACACATGCCATCAACCTTTGGCAAATTGCAGATGAAATCCATCGAGGCTTACCACGGTCTGTCAGGAATGGGCAAGGGCTAAAGCAAGCCTGCTGCCTTCTTCTTCTCAACCTTGTCAAGTTGGCACACAAGACAGGTTCTGACATATGCCTCAACGTCGTCTTCCATCTTGGGCCAATAATAGGAGCGAGCCAGCAATGCAAGCATCTTCTCTACTCCTGGATGTCCAGCCCACTAGGAGTTGTGTCTCACGCAGCAACTCCAGTCTTAGTTCTCCTTCAATAGGAACAAAAAGTTTGCCCCCTTTAACATATCCAGTATCTACGCACCAGACCCTCGTCAACTTGCTGTTTCAATTTGCCATAAGCAACATCGGTCTGGGCACGTTCTTTGACTCTTGCCAGGAAGTCAATTTGCACACTGGACAATGCAGCAACATATTCTTGGACCTCCTTCCTACTCAATGCATCAACAACTTGATTTTGCCTCCTGGGTCTGTGCACCCACACAAAATCGAACTCAGCAAGAAACTCCTGCCATCGGGCTTGCTTTGGGGTCAACTTCTTCTGGGTCTTAAAATAAGTGTTCGCCACATTGTCTGTCACAACAGTGAACTTTGTTCCCAGCAAGTAATGCCTCCAGATTTCAAGGCAATGCACCACAACAATCATTTCCTTCTCATGTGCTGAGTATCGCCGCTCAACATCTTTCAGTTTCCGGCTTTCAAAGGCAACAGAGTGTCCCTCCTGAACAAGAACTCCTCCAATAGCACGGTCAGACGCATCAGTGTGCACTTCAAAAGGCAGATCAAAGTCCACCAGTCTCAGTACAGGTGCAAAGGATATTGCATGCTTCAGCTTCTCAAAAGCTGTCTGACAAGCATCATTCCAGTCTCACTTTTTGGTCTTTCTTCAGCAAGTCAGTCAGGACATTGCACTTCTTGGAATATCCCTCAATGAACTTGTGGTAGCAGTTGGCTAGGCCAAGGAACGACCTAAGTTCAGACACCTTGGTTGGTGCATGCCAATCAACAATTGTCTTCACCTTCCTCTCATCCATCTGAATTTTGCCTTTGCTAATGTAATGTCCCAGAAACATCACTTCTTGATGACAAAATTCATATTTTTCCTTTTTGACATACAGCTGGTGCTCTCTTAGCCGTGAGAACACCGCCCGCAAATGATCTATACGATCTTCCAACATTTCACTATAGACTACAATGTCATCCAAGTAGACAACCATAAAGACATCAATGTAATCATAAAAAACACCATTCATTAGATTATAGAAAGTTGTCGGGGCATTAGTGAGCCCAAACGGCATTACAAGGAATTCAAAAGAACCATAACGCGTCACACACGCAGTCTTTGACTCACCCCTTTCTACAATTCTAACCTACCAATATCCCGTCCTAAGATCCAGTTTCGTATAGAAAGTGACCTTGGAAAATCTGTCGAATAGATCAACAACATTCGGAACAAGGTACTTGTTCTTAATTGTCACCTTGTTTAAGGCCCGATAGTCGATGCACATACGCAGTGATCCATCTTGCTTCCTTTGGAACAGAATAGGGGTTCCATATGGCGCCTTGGATAGCTTCATGCTGCCAGAATCTAGCAACTAGTTCAATTGCTTCCTCAATTCTGTCAATTTCATAAGTGACATCCGGTAAAGGACACGGGCTGGAGGTTTTGCACCAGACTCCAGTTCTATCTTGTGGTCAATTGCATGTCTGGGTGGAAGGCTCTTGGGGAGTTCAGGGGGCATAACATCAGCAAATTCCCCCAGTACATCTGTCACTACATCAGGTACTTCGACCAACACATCTAGTTTGATCTCCAACAAGGTTGTGAGGTATGTCATCTCGCCCTACTTCAACCCACCTTTCACTTGCATAGCAGACAACATTCTCATCTTCCACTTTTTATCTTTCTTGCTTTGGTCTACCATGACTGCAGGCACAAAGCAGGGTGTCTTCTCATCCGTGATCAACACTCCGTTCAGGTGTAGCATCAATGTCAACTTTGTTGTAATAAAAAATTCATTCCCTAGGATGACATCAAAGTCATCCAAGGGCACAACCATCAAACTCACTTGGCCTTCCCACAAACCCACCTTTAGGCATATTTCTGTCGTACCACGCACTGGCATCGCTTCAGAATTTACTGCCTTGAGTTTGCTTGAATTCTCTAACAATTTCAGGCCAAATTTTTCCACCTCTCTCTGGGCAACGAAGTTATGAGTGGCTCCAGTATCCACCATGGCCTGAACTTTTTTGCCATTCACCCAGGCCTATACAAACATGAGGCCTTTGCGGGGTTGCTGAACTTTGCCCACAGTAATTGCGTTCAACAACTGGAGAGGTTAACTCGGGTAGGACAGTCATCATCACTGTCATTCCCACTCGCAACAACAAGGACACTTAACTTCTCCCTCTTGGGGCAGTCTTTGACACGATGAGGGCCACTGCAGAGGAAACAACCATAATCAAAGGCTTTCTTCTTTTGGCTGTTGTTTGGTTTGTTAGAGTTAGCAACGTTCTTCTTTTTCTTCCAATCCGCTTTCTTTTGCATCTTTGGAAGTGTCAGCCTTATCCTTCCTGCCGCCACCATCCTTCTTTTTCTTTTCAGAAGGGCTTTGACTGTCGCCCATTTTGAAGTCAACCAAGCCATCTGCAGCAGAAATGGCAGTGGACAGATCACGTACCCCCTGCCTCCGCAGTTCAGCCTATGCCCAACCTTGCAGTCCGGACATAAAGTTGAAGAATTTGTCTTCCTCTGACATGTTCTTGATGTCCAATATCAACGAACTAAACTCCTTCACGTAATCACGAACAGTTCCGGTGTGTTTTAACTTTTTGAGTGAGTCCCTAGCAATCCAGGTTGTATTGCTTGGGCGGAATTGATCCTTCAATTCCTTTTTCAGGGTCTCCCATATCTTGATATTTGGATGACCAGCAGAGACATCGTCCTCATTCTGGGTCCGCCACCACAGTTTGGCATCACCAGATAAATACATACTGGTGATTGTCACTTTCTCTCCATCAGGCACACGAGCAGCCTTAAAGTACTACTCCATGTCCCACAAGAAATTCTCCAGATTCTTTACACTTCCAGTGCCTCCAAAGGCCTTTGTTTCAAGGACTTTGATTTTTGAAGATGTTTCGTCCACGGCAGGTCGAGATTTGATGGCCCCTCTTCACCAGGGTCACTTCGTCTTTAAGATCCTTCAAATTCGTTTTGACAGCATCTGTGAGGGACATGATGTCCTCCATCATCGTTGTAATCTTTGCATCGGTGTCGGTCACATAACTATTAAAAGCCATTTGTAATCCCACAATGTGAATAACGTGCTGCTTCATCTGCACAGCCACGTTGGTTACACCATCACTTTGAGGGGCACCCAGAAAATCTTCGAGACAGGTAATACATTCTCGCAATTCAGCAGCGTTTCCACCGGCCATGGTCGCAAACTGAAGCTCTGATACCAATTGTCACGGGATTAAATTTCTCACCAAATTTCTGCCTCGTGATGGCACTAAGATCCTACACTTAGTCTCACCCAAACACTTATAATGTAAACAGAATGCACATAAGAATAGAGAAGGGACAAGAAGCAAACACACAAACAAAGCACACAAAATTTACAAGCCAACAGGCTAAACCTTTCTTTCTCAATAAAGTATAAGGAACTCAGCCTTGGATCTGTTTACAAGAACGTGCCCAACTCTATTGGTGCACTCCAGACCCAGACACCCTATTTATAATGTTCAGGGTGGCGGTTACAAGTCCAACCGCCTAAGCAAATTGCCTACAATTCAAATGCTCCTACAAGTTTGCTGATGCCCAACTTCCTCACATGTTGTGCATGTGCCAGGAGCCCTCAGCATCCGAATTGAATTGCATTCGTGCCTAACCATGGCCCAGCCCACGGCACAATCCTTCCAGCAGCTTGCATGCTGACTTGTGCCCACGTGCCCATGTGCATAGACTGCCTCCCTCAGTCATGCATGAGACTTCTGTCACTTTGGCTAAGGCATAGGCGTCTTTGGGAGAGGCTGCCCTATACCAATGCCGCCAACGAGCTAAGGGGGTAACAGTTGTCCAGTATACATATACAACAACCATGACACAAAAGCAAATACAGCTTTTGATGATATGAAGTAGTAACTGTTAATTTACCAACGCCTTAGATTATGGGTATCACTTTTACTAATAGCATAGCCATTGAATCAAAAGCTTAACGCAGTTGTATTACATTGAGATAGACTAAAATGTTCTCACGGCCCACAAACATTTTTCTTTACCAGATAAACATGTAAATCAAATGGCCATAGACAACTTAATAGAGAACATCTTCGTACAGACATGTTAGATGGGGTTGGACTGGAGGGGCGAACAAACTAAAGATCTGGCATTTAGCAAAAGTCATAAGTGGTATCAGAGACTACCTCATAGGCTGCATACACCTCAGTGTTGAAACCAATCTCCTCACCATTTTCACTCATGCTAAAACCCCTCGGTTTTCCAAAATAAATACCTATTGCCACAAATCATAAAATATCTTAAGAAATTGCTTACTAATCAGCAAAAACAAGATAACAAACAAAAAGAAAAGAAAACTAACAGAAATAGTAGAAAAGTGCGACCTGAATGAGCCTAGCTGAGATTGATAAATACTAACCTCCAGTAAGCTCCCTTACAACCATTAGGTCAACACCTTCGGCAACCTCTTTCTTCAAAGTTGAAGCATCAACTAACTGGAATAGGTGAAAACAAAAAATTAGCATGTAAGAAATAAAAAATAGCACACGGTGTATAATCCACCTAAAAAAATAGCACCCGGTATATATTCCACCTAGCTCAATAGTTTTAATCATTTTTGGCATGCCTTCATTATGATTGTCCCAATTGTAACTTCTACTGGGCTTGTACATAAGTTTTTTGGATTTTCAGAGACATGGGTCATGAAATACAAGTGGAAAATCAAATGAAAGGACGAGAATTACTTGGCGCCAGATAGATGAACTTGATTTTCCTCTTAACCAAATAGAATGTCATATCAATGTATTGAGATCAGCACGTATGCTCACACAAACATGCCTACTCCTTAGCTAGTGACAAGAGGAGCGTCATATAAAAGTCAAAAGAGGAGTCAAACTTCTACACTTTTGTACAGAAGATATAGGTTTGTCTATGTAAATGATCTGCTGCCCCATGACATCTTAATAACTGACAAAATAGTGGCCCAAAATTTCTAGTCATACCGACTGGGATAGAGACACAACCTGTGCCTCATTTATCAAGTGATGTGTCTCCGTAGTAAGGCCCAACTTTATTTGTATAGGCAAGTTTCTTATGCAAATGTTTTTACTACTTTTGGACTAGATACGGATGCACTGAAAATGAGTAAGAGTATCAAACAAGGCAAGCAACATATCCTACACACAAATAAAGTTGCAATAAAGTGTGACTGAAGAAATTGTTCTTGTGAAATTTAACTAATTCAGCCTATGTCTTTTTTTTGCAAAATCATAATAGGACATTACCCATCCTTGACTTGAATTTCACACATCAGACAAAGTTTGTTTAGTTTATGAACAAAGTACAAACTCAAAACGGTCATGTGGGCATTCCATTATTGTTCAAATATCGTTGACAATTGAGGATCTATATTTTTAATCTTAAAAATTTTCTAGCCAATACTTTGTTCACTTCATAGGAGCACATCACTATAGTTATTTGTGTAAATAGGGTGACTTCAATCGGAGGTATGTTTTACACTTCAATTTCTTCTATGGTCAGCCATTGACAATTCAAGATACATTGATATTTCAGTCACTAAAACAACTGTACACACCCTCATTATCCATAGTGTCAGCTGCTGATGATTACAACATTGGTGATTGCCACAATTCAATTTGATTTGATTTTAATTCACGCACTTTGGCAACACAATACTACACTACTAATATGCATAGAACAAGAAACAAAAAGGTCACAAATTGGCATTACTTAACTACACGATGACAAAACTTACCTGTGGTAGAACAGAAGCTGGCCTCAAATTTGCGAAGACCTTAAGACCTTCCCGAAGCTGAAGCAATCCAGTTTCGGGCTTCAAATGTTTTTCATTATTATCCCATTTATACCTTATAAGACCAAAAAATGCAAAATAAAAAGAACAGCAAAGTTTCAAAAGAAATGAATTCAAAGCACCTAACAAACATTGAAAATAAAATAGAAATACAATCACCCTCCAATTGCTCCAAGTAGAACTGCATCCGATTGCTTCGCCGCAGAAAGGGTCTCCTCTGGTAACGGAACTCCGGTCAAATCCAAGGCGGCTCCACCCACAGGCATTTCCTTGAACTCAAATTCAATCCCTATTATTTTTCCAATTACATCCTACAGTCAAACCCTAAACCCTGAAAAATACAAACTCTCCTTGGCTACTCAAAATAAAATCTATGGGAAAATGAAATTTTAACTCTTATTGATTGTAACCTCAACAACAAGAAAGGGCACTACATTTAACACTGTTTTATTAAATTCTCTCTCTCTTTTCTTGACCTTTTCCTCTGTTATCTCAGTGACCAAACGGAAAACAAATGTGGAATTTTGAGAAAAGGGTATGATGTACCTTCGAGCGAGCCAACGAGTTTGAGGGCATTTTTTGCGACAGCGATGACTTCGGGGCCAATTCCATCGCCTGGAAGTAAAGTGATGGTGTATCGTTTTGTGGTTGTGGTGGCGGAGCAGCGGATTACAGCTGGTCTTGCGGAGTGTTTGGATTGGAAGTGTTGGGGTTTGAAGAATCTTGCACTGAACTGCAAAGAAGCCGCCATTGTTGTCGGCGAAGAGGAGAGAAGGCGCAGCAGTGTTTAAGGAAAGGTTGCTTGTTGGGTAAATTACAGTGGTGCAACTTCGGCGGCGGGCCAACCCGAATTCACCTCGAGTTTAATCCCAAAAAAATAAGATTTAGGATATAATTTTTAATACTTGGATTATACCTGGATAAAAAAATTTTAACCCGAATTAAATTTGGACAAGCCTTGAATTGTCGGATTTAACCCGAATATACCTAAAATATATAAATATATTTAACTATAATTAATATTTATCTCCATTCTTTAGAGTTTAAACTTTTACTTCACTTCAAGGTGTCACCTCTGCGTCCTCATCACCCTCAGATCTCTCTCTCACTCGTCACTCTTCCCTCTCTCTTTATCTGCCCATTGCCCATCATTTCAGATCACTTAAAAAAAATTAGATCTACACTTAAAAAAATTAAATCTACAACTCAAAAAATCAACCCGAATTAAGTAACTCAAACTCAAACTGATTTTTAATTTGAAATCAGCCGAATTAAATAACTCGAATTCAACCTGAACTCGCCTCAAATTAAACTCGGGCAGTACTCGAGTTGAATACCTTGGGTTGAGGTAGGATTAGGATTAAAGTTGAAGATTATATACCTAATCTTGAACTAAAGTTTACCTGTCAACCCCCAACCTGTCCGAATTGCACCCTAGTAAATTATTATATTTGGCCCCTAAAATTTATATCAAGTTTAAATTCAACCCTTTTAATTTATTTTATCCCAATTACTCCCACTGACTATTGAAAAAGTTTCAAATAACACCTTATCTCCAACTCCATCGAAAACCATTAAACTTCGGGTAACGATAAAAACAGAGGGTTCCCAACAAAGGCTTGGTTATAGGTTGCTGTCTTGCTGAGTCTATAATTTCATATAAGTCAGATTGAGCATAATTATTTGGTTATCGCATATTCTTATCATATACTATGCCTTTTTGTATTACAAAATTCGTTAAAATTCAACACAAACTCACATCACCAGACACGATTTACAAGCCTATATGTAACAACCAAAAGCAAGTAAACATATGATAATTTTTTTTTTTCTCTTTTTTATTATTATTATTATTAAAAACAGATGGTTCTCAACAAGGCTTGGTTATAGGTTGTTGTCTTGCTGAGTCTCTATAATTTCCTATAAGTTAGATTGAGCATAATTGTTCGACTATCTCATATTCTTATCACATGCTATGTCTTGGTACTACAAAATTCGCTAAAATCTGACAAAAACCCGTATCACCAGACACGATTGACAGGCTTACATGTAACAACTAAAAGCAAATAAACATATGATAATGTTTTTTTTTCCTCTTTTTATTATTATTATTATTGATGGAGTCTCGAAAATTACAGCCCAAGCCCAACGCGCGTGAGAGGTTATTAGGTTGGATGTTAGAGTAGGTTTGGTAGATTGGGTTCTGTTAACAAGAGAAAACAAAGAAGATAAGTGGTTCACCTTGACCGGTAGACCAAGGTTACATCCACTATAATGAAGTTTCTTGCTCATTGATTTTGTATATTGAAACGTTGATGAATATAACAGGGATTCAGGCGCTAGGCCCTTACAGATGACCCTAAGCTTATTGGATTGTGTTCACGGTTGTTTTTGGTTCTCTGGGATTCCCTTTTCTGTAGGGTATTGTTCTATATATATATATGGGTCGCTTCTCTTTGTGATTCCTGGCAGTTCCTTCTACTTTTTACCAATCCTGTGTAGACCTCCTATCCTTGTTCTGTAAAAGCTTTTTCCAGTCGGCGCCACTGCGCCCACGATCTCTGGGGTGTTATGTTCCACCATCTTCTGCGTGCTGGAGGATGTAGCTATCGTTTGCTTCAGAGATGGTCCTTTAAACGCGTGGCATGGCAGGGTGGCTTCGAGGCAAAGATTCGATTCCTTCTCTTCGAATTGCCCTTTAGCAGGCACCTGATTGGGCCATGTTTGGACCACTGCCCCTCGGGTGCTCATCGGAGCTTGTCCTTTCAGCTCTCTGTCTTGGGTTAATAGGAGGCACTCCAGGTTGGGCTAATGGATTTTCTTCCAGTTCCTCGTAGCTTTTTGGGCTTCTGGCTTGTTGGTGGCCCACTCCTCGAATTTTATCCTTATCAATGATTATTATTTGGTTGGAGGATAAACTAACCATGATTAATCAAATTGGTTTGATCCTTCATTTTGGATAGAATCAAGCTCAATTTTGGACCCACATATGCAAATAAGTAGGACAACTCATTGGTTAAAACCAAGAAATTGTTCAAAGTTGATTCATAATATCAGCAGATATTGAGTTGGACATTCCATCTAATACTCCAAAAATAGATACAACACTCTTAGTTTGATTTGATGCACACTAGATAGAGCACTTCAATTAAATTATCTTTAATTCATGAAAACAAATATGGAGTTATTACAGTTTGGTGCTAAGAGTCTCTCAAAAACATGAATTTCTCCTCCTTTTTTTTTTTTAAGATTATACTCCTCAAATTTGTAGTATTCTATCAAGAAAATGAAAAAAAATAAGATATGTGACCGTCATGAAAATGACACTCACCATCTGTTTTTATTAATTTTAATTTGCATTCATATAATTACAAGTCCTACGGAAAATAGCCACATAATTTTCAAGTCCAAAACATTATTTTCCATGTTGGATTATTATACATTTTCTACTTTAGAGGTTGCGTGAGCATCTTTAGGGTAAATTACACTTTATTCCCTTAAACTATTATCTTTTTTTTATTTTATACCTTTAACTATAAAATTTTTCACATTATACCCTATAGTATCAATTTTGTTTCATATAACTCTAATAGATAATGGTTGTCAATTTTTTTATGGTAAATGTATTTTATACTATCAATAAGTAACTGTCTATTGTACAAGTCAAAATAAAAAAAAATATCTATCTATGACTTTACCATTCCTAAGTTCTAATTTTTTTTTATTAATCTTTTTCTTCTCAACAATTATTTGATTGCAAAATAGGTAAAATAAAATGGTATAAGGCACTTGGTCAGAAGTCTTTGAAATTTTCTTCCCTCATTTGACAGATTTTTAAATTTATTCTATTGAAGTGATATGAAACAAAATTAATATTTTAGAGTGTAACATGAGAAATTTTAAGGGAATAAAATGTAATTTACTCATATCTTTACCTATTTCTTTTAATAAAGAATGTCTATAGTTTTTTGTTAAATCGACAAGAGAATGAGAATCGCTAAATGGTATGTGGGTACGAATGTTTTACTAAAGTGTAACTCGGGTGGGTTGAGCGGATTGAGGGATCAACCATAACTTAACTCTAGATATATAATCTTCAACTCTAACCCTAACCCTACTTCAACCCGAGATACTCAATTCGAGTACTGTTCGAGTTTAATTCGGGTGAGCTCAGGTTGAATTGAATTATTTAATTCGGGTCAATTTTTTTAAATGTAAATATAATTTTTTCAAGTATAAATTTAATTTTTTCAAGTTATTTGAGATGAAGCGCAAGACGCAGATGAAGAGAGAGGGAGTGAGAGAATGATGTATAACGATCGAGAGAGGAATGAGTGACAAATTAGAAAAGGATTTTAGAGTGATAGAGACATAGGGAGGTGAAGACTTTGAAATAAAGTGAAAATTTTAACTTTAAAAGAGTGAAGAAAAATACTAATTTTAATTAAATATATTTCTATATTTATGTATATTCGGGTTCAATCCTACAACCCGAGTCTTGCCCAAATTCAATTTGGGTTGAAGTTTTTTTTCCCATGCCGAACCCAAATATTAAAAATTATAATCCAAATCCTATTTTTTTCAGGTTGAGCTTGGATTAAATTTAGGTTGACCCGCCCAAGTTACACCCCCATGTTTTACATAGTTTTTAGCTCGGAGCTTCATACCCTTTTTCATTAGGTACCCATTTCCTTTCGTTAAACTCGGGAGGAAATTTTTTGGATGTAACTTTAAAACTTAAAAAATATAGACTACTTATTAATTTAGAAAATCTTTAATATATTTTTAATTAATAATAGATCATTCACTATTGTGAACCGAAAAATCATTTATGAACAATTAATCTTATAAAAAATTATAACATATAATTTCTCTTTAAAAAATGCTACCGAATGAAATTTCATTCCTCTAAAGAATTGTTTAGTTTAGCTATTAAGAATGATCGGATATCCATCTATCCGAGATTTGGACTATTTATAGAAGAGCAATGTTATTGGGACCTAATTTATTGTGATATTTAGATTCACTGTAAATCTCATCAAACATTGGAACTTGGTGTTGATCCAATGATTCATATAAAACCACATTATTATGTCAGCAAATTAAGTTAAATTTTTAGGTCCAAATAGTATTACTCTTTATAGAGATAATGTCTCCTCATCTCATATTTGGTTCAAATATTAATAAATAGTGAATCCCACATTATCTCATATAATATTTTGTTTGAAAAGAGTATTGAATGATAATATAAATATTAAATTATTAAAAAAAATTCAAAATATAAAGTGATATTTATATTTTAGAGATTTTTTAGGAAGATTTGTTTAATAAACTGTTGGTGGGTTTAAATATACAATTCATCTAGGCCTAAATTATTTTTAAGTGATAATATCGAATCTAAAATATATATTTAAACATGAGTGTAAATAAGCTAAAGTAGGCCAGACGTATTCTTCCCAACCACTCTTACTTAATACCTAAAGTAAACACACGCCAATTGCTCTAATTAATGTGAGCTATTTTGGTAAGAAGGAAAGTCCACTCTACAATAGCCAGCTAGCCGTTACCCGGTCCTCAAGGGTAATTTCGTAACTACGTGTTCGAACAGCTTCTCACATGCGAAACCAAAACGCGGCATCCAAGTTCACCGCCAAGAGCTCCCTTACTACTACACTACATATATATTGTCCAGACACGAGACGTGGTAAACGATTCCTCTCTCTCTCTCTCTCTCCCTCCTTCCTTGAACCTTCGGAGACAGCAATTCCTTTCCACAGAAAACCCAAGACGAAAACATCATGTTCAGTCCCAAAACATTCTCTTTTCTTCTTCTACCAACCTTCCTCCTCATAGCTTCAACCTTCTTTTCATTTTCTCATGGAGCTTCTCAAGTTCATCACCTTCGAGCCATTCAATCTCCAGGTAATCTCTTTCGTTATTTCCAAATGGGTTTTCATTTTTGTCTTCGGAAGAACACAGTTGTCTCGGAACATTGTCGTCTTAGACTTCAAAGAGACTAGTGTTTCTCTGCTTTTATGTGATATTGTTACTTGTGTAGGGAGGATTGATGAGGGTAAGTATGGTGTGATTGGTGTCGTTTCATGGGGAGTGAAAAGGTCTGTTCTGGAGGGGAAAAATGGTGGAAACTCATCTCTGATACTGGCTGCCGAGAGGACCCACAGGAAAGATCCACTCAATGATTTCAAGTACTATACCGGTGGATGGAATATAAGTGAAGAACATTATATATCTGTGAGCTTTTTTCAACCCTTTATCCTAATTAAAGTACCTTTTTTTTTGTCTTTATTATAATTTAGTTGTCTTGGGTTTGTGATTTTTTTTTAATGTTGGAATCGACTCTTTAATTTGTGTTCCCATGCTTTTCAATGTAAATTTTTTTTGATGTTCTAATTTGGGTTTTGCTTATTGGTATTCTTTCGATGTCCTTGGGCTTCCCTTTGTCTCTTATGGCGCTTGCTTACTATCAGCATACTGGATAAATTTAGCCCCCCCCTCCTGATGTTTGCTTAATTTATCTTTAAACACTGCAGAATTGCTTCTGTCACCTTGATTTTGTTAAGATTGTCATGTACAACATCATCAATTGTTTTTGTGTTTTGACCTTAAATCCTAAGACATTTAATTGTCCCCCTCTAGGACTAAGAGTTTTTCCTTGGACAATATAAGACTCTGGGTATATCCTAAGATTCATATATTTCTATACGAGAATACTACATGCTATTCAGTTTTATGTTTGTGTATAGAGAATTTCATCGCCCCATTTGTTTCTAATCAATTGTTTGTTGTACGAGACTCTAGTTCGTCTTATAAATTTTTTTACCATTAGCTTGCCACCTCACCCCAAAAAATAAAAAATTAAAAAATTCTGGTCCTCGGATTCCATCGTTTCCCAACAAGATTGTCTTAATTTTGTTTTCTATGAATATTACCAGATGCTGATATTTTTTTGTTGCCTTTATTTCGAACATCTCCGGGTTTATGGGGGGATTATTTCTAGGTTAGATTAAATTTTCATTATCTCTGTATAAAATTTGCTTTTGATGCAGTCTGTGGCTTTTACTGCTGCTCCCCTGTTCCTCATTGCTGCAATCTGGTTTGCGGGATTTGGCCTGTGCTTGCTGTTTATGTGTTTCTGTTTTTGCTGCTGCCGACGTCGTCCTTATGGATATTCTCAAACTGCTTATGCACTCTCTATTATCCTTCTCTCGTTGTTCACCATTGCTGCAATGTACCTCCCTCTCTCTCTCTCTCTCTCTCTCTCTCTCTCACACACACACACACACACAGAGTTGTAGTTAGAATAACAAGTTGAAATTCTCAGCGCTCTATGTTGTGTCTTACAGTGTCGGATGTGTTGTTCTGTACCTTGGACAAGGAAAGTTTCACAATAGTACCGCTGATACCTTGGACTATGTTGTGAGTAAAGCAGACACCACTGTTGAGAATCTTAGGAATGTATCAGATTATCTTGCTGCTGCTAAGCAGGTTGGAGTAGAACAAATTTTTCTCCCTCCAGATGTCCAAAGAAACATTGACCAAGTGGAAACAAATATTAACTCTTCTGCTACCACTCTTGAATTTAAGACCAAGCAGAACAGAAAGGATATAAAGAAGGGTTTGGATGCTGTGTGAGTATATGCAAATAGGTTTTCCATGTTCAACAATGCTATTGGTGAAAATTATGAGTGCTCAGGTGTCTAACTATGCTCTACAGGAGGCTGGCTCTTATCATAATAGCGGCTGTAATGCTTCTCTTGGCTCTGCTTGGTTTCTGTAAGCCTTTTGAACCTTTCAATCAAATCTTCCTATTCCGGATTAATTTGTGATGATTTTGCCCCATTTTAATGCTGCGACTATTGGGTGCAGTGTTCTCTATCCTTGGTATGCAGTGTCTTGTATACATGTAAGTGACTTAAGGGGACACGTTTCTTATTCGTCTTTAATTTGTTTGGTGTTTAAAGCGTGTTCTATGTTCATTTACAGTCTTTTTTGTTTCTTTTCAACATGTTTGCAGCCTGGTGATCATAGGGTGGATTCTTGTTGCAGCTACATTCATCTTGTGTGGTGTATTTCTGGTTCTCCATAAGTAAGTTCTATTTGATCGTATTCTTAAAATTTATCCACTTATAAATTTGCTATTTTTATAATTTTACCTTAGAAGCACCTACACGTCATATGTTCATCACTTGACCTTTAGAGCTAATGAAGGTATCCTGATAAAAATTAACCATCTCGATTCCAATTTGATCGCACCAAAAACTAGAGTTCGTCTTGGATTTCCTTCATCAATGACAACTACACCATCACCCTATTTTATTATCACACTGTTCTCCCGTTTGAGTAAAAAATTGCTTGAGAACCTGAAGCTAATTCGTCCATGCATTAGAGATAGATGCCGTTAGAAGATATGCACTTTTAGTTATCCTTTTTGCTCTTACTATCAACATTTATCTGAAGAGTCTGCAGGATAACAGTTTTTGGAGGATGCTGTTTCCCAAGAAAAATTTTCTTTTTGACAAAAATTCTTATTCTCCTTCATATGAGGGTTTTAGTTCCAAGCAACCTCTTCAAACTGCATGGCTGTTATTTTTTGTTCAAGGTATTCTCACTGAGACCATCTAACACATTTTCTTCTTATTCAAGTGTGGTGGGGGACACATGTGTTTCCATGAATGAGTGGGTTCAAAACCCCACAGCTCATACAGCTTTAGATGATATTCTCCCATGTCTGGACAATGCCACTGCCCAAGAAACATTGTCTCAAAGCAAAGATGTCACTTACCAATTGGTTGGGGTGGTTAACGGGATCATCACAAATGTATCCAATGCTAATATACCACCTGGTGCTGGACTTTTCTACTACAATCAATCTGGACCATTGGTACCTGTCCTCTGTAATCCATTCAATGCTGACAAGACAGACCGGAAATGTGCAGCTGGTGAGGTAGAGTTTGGCAATGCATCCCAGGTTAGTTCTCACAAATCTTTTGCATGTAAGTAGAACAACTGAAGGGTGAATTCGCAAGCTTTTTGAGGAGACACTAAAGAATTCTTGACAATTTGATGGTACATGCTTTTTCTGTCCCCCATTTGAACAGTTCATTGTGTAGTCTTGGTTGATGAAAAGTTGGTGCTCCTTATCAGAAGTTAAGTGGGACCATGATATTGGTTCAAGAGAATCCTTCATCTTAATTTGAATGGTGCTTTCTTTAAAAATCTTGTATAAACATTTGAATATATGACATCTTGAATGGACCAATTTGCTGTCATTTTGCTTCGGGATTTCGTACCATATTGTAGTGGTGATATATGCAATTTCTTGGAAAATTAGTTTCAAACTGCCACAATATTGTGCAAAAGAGATAAATCTTTCCGAGAAATCTGCGCATTGATTCCCCATTGTTTCTTAAAGCTGCTTTTTGACCACTAGTGCTTTGTTGCTTGTTGAAAATAAGTAGAAGGAACATCACCCTAAAACAAAACGACAGAAAATTGTAGAAGGAACGAAGTTGAAATTTGGGATTGTCTTTTTTTGTTTTTTTTCCTTTTCTGGTTCAAAATTGATAGTCATACACACTATTTCAAAGCCAACTTCATAGCCCTTTCGTTATGTTTCATGCAGGTTTGGAGGAATTATGTGTGCCAAGTTTCCAGCAATAACATATGCACCACAGTGGGCCGTTTGACCCCTAATATGTATAACCAAATGACTGCTGCAGTCAATGTGAGCTATGGTTTGAATCGTTATGGTTCATTCCTTACGGATCTACTAGACTGCACATTCGTTAGAGATACCTTTACTGTGATATATGATGATCACTGCCCTGATTTGAGGCAATACAGCAAGTGGATTTACATTGGGTTGGCTATGATCTCAGCAGCAGTAATGCTTTCTCTGATCTTCTGGGTGCTTTATGCAAGAGAGAGGCGTCACAGGAAATATACCAAACTCGTTGATGCTAGATCTATTCAAGACCCTTTTGAGGCGAAAAGGCCACAGTAAATTTTGAAGTTTATCCCCTTTTTTTAGTGGAGTTGGTTCGTTCATTTATGTCGTTTGTTTGTTCATTTGTACTGTACATAACTAAGTTACTAAGGTTCATAGCTGCTCACTTGTTTTTTCACTTGTGTGTGGGATTCTCACTGGCTTTCAGATTGATTTTCTGGCACCTAACATTAAGACCAACCTATTTAGAAGTACCTGCTAGGGATTTTAATTTTTGCATTAGACACCCATTTGAGTTGATATTGATTTAAATTTCTTATCATGAATTCGACTCGCAGAAACAATCTCTCTACTTGCAGGAATAAAGTTGCATACATCTAACCCTTTCCGGACTCCTGCAATGACGGGAGTTTTATATACTGGGTATACCTTGGGTTTTTACCAAATTGTCATTTCATTAATAACTAAAGTTGGGGGTTTACATGATATCCCACAATACATTGTAAAACTCCACATATGACAGATGACCACTTCACCTTAGTTTCTGAAAATCCTAGTTGGTTAATAAAAGGAAATGAAAGGGAAGAGCAGCATTTTAATGAGACAAACAGAGAAAAGCAAAAGTTGTGATTTATAAGGTATTTTATCATAGGAAATGCCCACCAAATGTCTTGCATGTGTTGCTTAAAGTTTATGTTATAATACAAAGTTGAGTGGGGATTGTTGCTCCTTTAAAGTAACATGGTTGGTAGGTAGGGGTTGGAATTTTTTTAAGGATATATAGTTGTTGAGTTCAACTAGATTGAATTTGATGTAACTAGATTGAATTTGATGTAAAAATAATATTACTTTGATTAACTTTTCTTATAAATTTGAACGTTACAACCACAACCATAAGAACTGTTAATCTCAATTCTTTGCAATCAAACCCTGTGATTGGGCATTTAGGCTTAGGGTTATAGTAGAATATTCACAAACTTAGCAAAAATTCAAAACAGAGGGGACATAAAGGAAGAAGTGTTTGAATGGCTTATGCAACTCAAAGCTCGAACTTCAAGGTAGTTCAAATGATAATAGGAATAAATTATAAATTCAGATATTCGAAATTTGAATCTTGATAATTCATTAAGGTCAGATTATGAGGGATTTATCCCTTATGAATATTATTGTCCTGACATAAATTATCTATTTTTAACCGAACCGATGAGAGAATTAGTTGAAGTGCGCATTATTTGTTTTATCTTGACAAGCCATAATGGCAAAAAAAAAAAAAATATAACTTGTCTAGAATTTGGTTTTTGCCTCCCATGTGAACTCAATCGAAAGCCTTCAAAAATAATTAATATGTACCAACCCTTGTTCTTTAAGATGCCACCTCGTTTGGAGTTTCCATTTTTCAAGAACCAAAATAATTGAATATGAGGATGATGGTGCCAATGCTGAAAAAATTTCTTAATTATGTTCATCGGCATATTACTATTCTATTGAAGAACTAACAACTACAATTAATGCTAATTGTAAATGCACCTATACAAATGAGAAAACATGTAAAGAAATATGAGAAAAATACAAAATAAAACTCAATATTCGAGGGACATGAGAAATTAATTATTACATTTTGACACACTCACTTCTTGAATTTGAATTTTAATAATTTTTTTGAGTTAGGTTATGAAAAATTTATTATTTATAAATACTCAAATCTCAACGTAAATGATCTGCTTGTGATTAGACTGAAGAAGAGATTAGTCGAGGTGCGCGTAAGTTGACCCGAATATCTCGACCATTCAACTAAAAGGAAAAATTTTAGAATGCTCAAATCTAACTAGCTAGGCTCGATCAATTAATTTGGGGCAAAAACAATTGGGGTGCATGAACTTTGACCTAACGAAGCCACCCCATGTGAAGTTATTCCTATCAAGCTTTGAATATTAGGCCTCACAAAATTCTTATTATTTTTCAATACACTAACCAACCAAGATTTAATTATCAATTATTTTTTTTAGTTTAAAAGTTAAGAATGTGTTCGAATTAATTTATAAATATTTCAATTAATCTTCTCTTTAATTTGATCAAAAGTAGACTATTCATATTAGAATTTTATGGCCTGACTTTATGGGATCGTAAAGATTTAAATTTATAATTCGTTTTTATTATTACTTCAAATTATCCCTTACAATTCAATTATCAAAATTACGTTAAACAAAACAATCCCTAATAATATACTAAACACTTAAATAATACAAACTGATAGCCACGAAAAACAGGAAAAAAAAAGATGTGTAGATTGAATGCCCGTTCTAGGCCGGCACATTCATTACCACAGCCTTTGGAATCGGAAGTGTTCCCCCACATGTTCCACCAAACTGGCCAACACGTGTCCTCAAACGGAACATTGTTTTCAAATACAACGCGCGGGAAACTACGAAACGTCCAAAAAACTGCGGGCATAATTGGAAACCGTCTGTCCCGAGAAAATACTATTCAATTCAATAGTGATAAGACTCATATAGGCGACAAACATAGGTAATTTTGTAAGTTTTGCAACCAACCAAGGCTAGACAACAAAATAGATTATAGGTGTCAGTAAATTGAGGGGCCCCACAAATCTAGCGACAAATGGCGCCATATTCGGCGCCTAAGCATTTTCACAAGAAGATACCAACCCAACTCTTTACCTAAATAAGTGAACAACACACGACATTAAACAAAGAAGAGTGTTAGGAACAGTTGCGAGAGCACGCGTAATCAAAATCTTATCTGACAGCCCATAGGTTTTTGTCCTGAAACCATTTGATCCAATTATCGAAAGCCCAAACTGACCACCGGCATCCCAACTAACGGCCGCATTAACAACTTCACCTCCAAATAAACCCCCGATAATCAAACTTATTTACGTTTCTGCCATTGATTTCATCCCATATATAACCTCTACTTCAGATTTGCTCTACGTTTGCCAAACGGCGCTTTATAATACCTTCTACTGAATATTATTCTCCTACATTCTCTCTCTACTGGTTCAACAATGGAGTCATCGTCTAGAACCAAATCGAATTCTCTCCAAAGATCAATTTCTCCTTCGGGTCGATTCTGTTCGTCGTTTTCCTCGGCCTTCGCTTCCTCAATGTCCAGTTTTTCGACCCGATCCTCCGGTTTCTTAACCCGATCCGCTTCACCAACTCGGGTTAACCTGTGCAGATCCGTCTCACCTTCGCCGTCCGTACGATTTTCGACTCCTCCTAGCCGTTCGATCTCGGTCTCTCCTCGGCACCAAATGCAAAACACCAAGGCATTGTCTGGTCAGAAGAAGACGTGTATGTGTTCGCCTACAACGCATCCTGGTTCGTTTCGGTGTAGTCTTCACAAGAATGGTAATCGTCATCAGAATCATGCGGGGTCGTATCATTCAAGTCATCGGTTGAATGCTCGGAGATCGGCAATGACGAATTCGCTGGTGAGGATTGGGACAGTGGAGGGAGATTTAGTGAAGCGAGCGTTGGCGGCGTTGATTCGGCCGTCGTCCCATCACCAAAGACGGAGAGCTGATTTTCAGCCCAGACCTAGTCGTCTCTGCAACATGTCCAAAGCCGAAGATCTATGAGTTTTTGAGAGGTTTGGTATTGATACAGATCCCGCAGAGTTTTCCGGCCAGCCACAGCGTTCCCATTTTTTCCGAGTGGTGGGTCACTGAGAAGATCGAGGAGTTTGTGCCGATTTTGTAGTTTTTGAGCATGAAAACCCTAATGTTTTTCAGAGATCGATTCAGAAACCCTGATCATAGCAGTGTGTACCGTTGAATCCTGTTTGATAGTTGATGAGGAGACCAAATCATATAAATTTCTAATATCTTCCAAAATCAGGAACACATTCTAATTAACAATATCAGCAAATTGGATTGAAATTGAGAATATCAGCAAAGTGGATTGAAATTGAGGTGAAGCAGATATTTCTATCCCAAATTTTTTTTTTTTGGGAAATTTGGCAAGTGAATGGGGTTGCGATGTGTTTGGTATGTGTGTGTGCGCATTTGCAGTTTGATCATTTGCAATTTGCATTACAATCACTGGTAGTGAATCTAATGCACAGCGGGAAACATTGAAAGTGAACTTCATTTAGAGATTGCAACACCAACTCTCCTTCTATTACAAATCCAAGATTTTGACCAAGAAGATCATAGCAGACGAGACTCCATCCCAGGTTTCTCTTCTAATTGGATATCTTAGCACAATGATGTTTTGGACTTGAGGTGTGTATGGTTCTTGGATTTGTAAATTGGCTTTGGAGCAGCCTCAAAGTGATGTATAGTTTCTTCCATTCTTGCCTAAATCCAAGAAAATGCATTTGATTATTCTTTTTTGTTGAATTTGATGTATCTTTGTTATCTAATTCGTTTGTTTTTGTTGGTTTTTGGATGGCAGGGATGAAGTTTTCTCTTGGCTTGCTTTGCCTTCTTTTTTTAATATCTGCCGACCAGAGGATTGGAATCAGCTGATGAGCATTGGCTAATGAACTTAGCAAGTTCACCAGACAGTTTCCTTTTATGGTAAGCATAAATTTTGTGGTCTTGCGGTATGCTGTGGGTCTTCTGCTATAGCAACAGAGATGATGTTGATCAAATGACATCGTTTTAATAACAGATGAGTCAGACCCATGACAATATTCAGGAAACAAAAAAAAATTTATTTAAATTTAAATTAAATCGGGGTAGTGGTGGTCCTGGTGGAGCATGTGAATGAGCCCGTGTTTCATGGGAGGGAGACATGTAAAGGCTTGGTCCTCTCCCAACTTTCAGTTACATTGTCAATTTGTGGAAAGGAATCATACCTCATGATTGCCACTTGTCAGTGTGATTGACACATTTTCTTAGACACTTTGTTGCCGCACCACCATAGCATGCCTACCCAATCTCTACCCTGATGGGATGCACAGTTGCCAAACGAAGTATCTTGGTTTTAGGGGCATGATATTAAAAAGTTAGGGGTGAATTACGTTGAAATCCCTTAAAATTTATTATTTAATTATTTAAATTTTTTGATATTTAAAATATTATATATAAATCTCTTAAAATTTATAAGCTCAACTTTTAGACCCTTTCGATCAATCTCCGTTAGTATATTTATTAGTAATTACAAATAGATTATCTGAAGTTTGTTTGCGTATAATATTTAAACCTTTTAAATTTAAAATATTTTATAACAAAAAATACCCTAATTAAATATAGAATATCAAGTATTTTAAATTTTGTAACCAAAATTTATGTTTTTTGTATCATTTATTAAAATAAAATTAAAAATCTAATTTTTTATTAAATAATCGTAATTAGTAAAATAATTATATTATCTATTAGAATAAAACTAAAAATTCAAATAGAGAGTCCAACTCAGTCATAATAGAATATAAATTTTACAATCAAAATTTATATTTTATTATATTATTTATTGAAATAAAATCAAAAATCAAAAATTTATTTTTTTAAAAAAAAATCATAATTAATATATCATTATACTATTTATTAAAATAAAACTAAAAAATCAAACAAGTGATCAAATTGTAATGAACACAATATCCTTTAACTTTAATTGAGGGTGATTTGATAGTTCAATTTGGTCATTTAAAGTATCAATTAAATTTCAATGGATAGTATAATTATATATAATTATGATTTTTTAATAAAAAATTAGATTTTTATATATTGATTTTATTTCAATAAATGTCATAATATAATATAAATTTTAGTTATAAAATTTAAAATATTTGATATTATATTTTTATTAGAGTATTTTTGGTCTAATTATAACATTTTAAACTTGAGGGGTTTAAATATTATATGTTTACAAATTTTAAGAGATTTGAGTATAATTTATTAACAGACATGTTAACGGACATTGATGATAAAAGTCTAAGTGTTGCATGCGTACAAACTTCAAAGAGTCTGTATGTAATATTTTAAATATCCGGAGTTTGAGTGATTAAATGACAAATCTTAAAGAGTTTGAGTGTAATTCTTCTAAAAGTTAGCGATTAAATCCAAGTTTTTTTCCTTCTAAATTAGACCTTTGGCCGGGGTTCATACATACATTGACCTACTCGAAGAAGTAACTCCCGATTAATCCACCTAGTGTATATTTCTGTCCGCTCAGGGTTCTCTTTGTTTGGTTACACAATTAATCTCAAATTCATTTATTGTTCTTGTTATGTCTCAGTTTATAAATAAATTAGTAATTGCTCGTATCTGAAGGCACGATGTTACTCGTAAATTAATAATTCAAATATCTGAAAAATTATGTTATAACTACCGAAACATAATAATTCAAATATCTGAAAAAATATATCAGTTGACAATATTTAATGTTCTGTTTTTGATTTAAAATCTACAATTTCTACATTCATAATCAACTTTATCTAAATAATATCAAAATTCATAATTAATAGAATGAAAATTAAAACAATACTCCCACAAATAAATTAAGTCTGTAGATATTGTCAAATGGCCAAATATAATTATCAGAAATTCAACCAACTTCCAAAAGATACGACTTGAGAAAAAAAGAAATTACAGTTAGGTGTTTATTTATTCTCTAAAAACATACATTTTTTCTTTTATCCACATTCAAATAATAAAAACATAGAGAAATAATGTTTACCTAAAAAATATTGTTTCATCTATGGAGGTCTTATTCATAGTAGGTTCAGTTGAGCCTTCACGTCTTCTAACGCTCGTGAACAGAGTATGTCATCTTCGATATCTGCCAATGTCTCCTCCAATTCTATCATATCTATGAAGTCATTCTTAAACTTCTTATTGATTTCGTCAATTGACCATGTAGATGGAAGCGTGTTAACAACAACATATAACATAATTGGATTGTTCGGCATAAAACCTTCTTGTTGCAGTTTATAAAATAATTGTTCTTTCTTTTTTATATGATCTAAAACATTTGTCTTTGGACCCATTTTTTCTTGCTCAAATTGTATCCATAATGGATGGATATCACGTTCCGCTTCCACCAATAATTGTACAAACTGTACTGCATTGGTTGGTTTGTCGTCTAAAATTTTTTTTCCATTGCAGAATTCCAAGTTGTGGGAAGGGTCTCTATTATTTTATGTATAATATAACTATCACTTATATTTTTTCCCGCCATTTGTAACATACGACCTAATTCAACATTTTTCACCCCAAATTTTGAGATTGGATTCTATCTTCAAACGATTCATTTTCAAATTTTTCTTGTATGCCTGATAGAGCCACACGCGTACTATGACGTACAAATATTGGAGGTCGTTCCATTATATCTATACATAATATAAAAGATACAAATTAAAATTGTAATAATCACATTAGCAATGGAGTAATAAGCATTACAACATACAAAATAATATTTTGTCACCCATGTGGTTTAATAAAAATAATAACACAACATAAAAAATTAGAATAATGATTAGGAATGCGAAATTATAATAAAATCAAGACACCAATAAAATATACAAAACCATATATGAAATTCATAGAATAATTATTCAAATCACCATCATATCATAATACTGTCACTACAAACATAATTGTAGTAATTGCAATCATGCAAGTAATTAAGTATCAAGTTTATATTAAAAATTCTAGAATCAAACATATGATCTATCTTTACGGAGATATAGTTAATAGATTAGCCTTCCAGTAGGTCTTTGAACTTTCTCTTCATCACTTTCCTGAATGTTCTTGTGTTAATATATATGCGAAACTGCAAGTTTGGAGAATGCACAACAACCTAGTTTTACAGAAAGAAAGAAAACCAAACTTTAGTGATATATTTTAGTTATAAAAGAATAAATCTCATTGTAACAGTATAAGAATCAGATTACCTTATTACGATATACCCATCGGTGAAATTGCGTTGTATTTATTCTTTTCATCGTTTTAGCCAATTCAAACCAATCCTACAAATATGAATTATAATGTAAAGTTAACGTGATTATTTGTATTCAATATGTATTCAATAGGAGCAATTTGTAAATAAATTGTACCATTTTTTTACTATTGAATAGGAAGTTCTATAATAGAACTTCAGGGTAAACGATGTTTGATGTGCAATTCGACTCATTTTCAGGAAGAAGAAAACATATACGATCAGAAGATGTGCATCTGGATAATGCCACATACAGATGTCTATGGCTAAACACTGGTGTGTGCAGATCAACCCTAATGAATTTTATAGACTGTCCTTGAGATTTATTGATTGTCATAGCATATGTTAATCGGACAGGAAATTAACGTCTCATCATCTGAAAAGGCAATTCTGCAGATGTTGGTGACAAAGATATTCTTGGAATGAAGTCCAAATTGTCAGATTTATCACCATTTAAAATTTGAGCTTCAATCACACGCGTGACACATCTGACAACCATCAATTGCGTGTCATTACAAAGCCTTTCCTTTGGTGCTATATTTCTCAGCAACATTATTGGGCTACCTACCTTCAAATCTAATTTAAACAGCTGTAACCCAGCAGGGTTTAGAGAGTTTAAATACTCATTAGGATATCGATTAGTGATCGATTGATCAAGTTCATCACCCTTTGCCATTTTGTCAGCTGTTAAATACGTAATTATTTGTCTCGGTGAAATATTCATTATTGTGGCATTTATAGCATTTACGTCGTCATTCCTTGCAGAAAGAATTGTGCGCTCGGTTAGGAAGTCTGGGGTAACTGAACCAACTATATCCAAATGTGGATAAATTTTAAATATTAATTCTCGAAGAGTATGACACTTTTGTATTGTTGATGGAAGTTGTACAGTTTCTTGTGGGTTTGTTCCTACCTAAAAATTAGAAGTGAAATTAGAGAAGATAAATTGATAATAATTACAAAAAATAATATTTTATATACTGAATGATCAATGGAATATTACCTCCATCAAGAATTTTTCA